CGCCACTGGTAATTCTGTATAGTACATTTCGGATTAAGCTTTGTCCAGTCTCTTTGCACAAGAACGTATATTTCCAGAGGGAAGAAACAAAATGGTTGTTATTATTTTAGCAACAAATGAACTCATTGGCCGCGTCGCGGCTTCTCGTGTACTGCATAACGATCGGCGGTTAACAGGCGCAAGTGTTTGCTGTAGGCACGCCACACGACAGCTGTGTGATCACCTGAAGCACCCAAACAGCACTCATTAAACAGTTTAACATGCCATTTATGTTGGATCTGAGATCCTCACACCATTGGCTATGAAGATGACTATGTTTTGCTATGTAACGCTGTGTAATCTGGTGGAAGTTCACTGGCGTTTCCAAGAAGAGCACTGCCTCCGTCTTCAGGGTCGAAAAATAAGACTGCTTCTTGATCTTTTGATACTTAGCTTACACTTCGACAATGAAGACAGAGGTGATATGTTCTTCCGAAACGTCGGTGTCCTTTTGTCAGGCTATACGGCGTCACATCCCAGGAAATGGTACTTCTCATGCTATGTTATATTTGAGGTACTCGGAGATATACATGGATCATGAACATTTGTACCCCGGTAAGTATATACCCACACCTCGGAGGTGTATGCGCCATCTGAAGAGGGATGTACCAAACTACACGGCGTCACATACCAACAGACTGCACCCTTAACAGATGTTGTGCTTGAATTGTCAGCAGTATAACTTCGCACTCAGGAAATCCGGGGATCAGAGTTTGGCCCCAAACTCTATCGCTCGGAGTTTGATTTTTCGTGGTTTTCCTCAGTCCCCAGAGACAAATGTCGCGACAGCACCTCAAATTAGGCCAAGGACATTTCGTTCCATATCATTTACATTTCACTGTGCGTTATCAATCACTCGACACTGAAAAACGAGAATTAGTGAAATATATTGAAAATAAGGTAGAGATATGGTTGGTATTGCGAGATCAATCGGGGGTGCCAACTGCTGCGCTGCAAAATCCACTAGCCACACGAAGACTGTCGTTCTATACAATTGTTTGTATTCTCGAATCTATAATTTCGTTAAAGACGCGTCAATTAGACGCCCTGTGGCAGGTGTTGAAAACAGGAGTAGCTGTGTAAATATCTTGTTAGCAGCAGAGAAGTAGCATACTGACAAGAATGGCCTATTGGAAAGTACAGCAGGCACAGAACTTGTTCCGTACTAATGACTGGTTTGTAAATAAATGAAACTATACATGTCCTAGGCGCGTGTTTCAATAACAGCGCCGCGAACGGATGTTAGCTTCGGCTCATTATGACAAGCAGCGAATGAAGCACAAGACTCTAATGATGGGTCACGTGTACAGTCAGCTGGTTACTAAGCAACGAAAAGAATTTATAATAATTTCTTAAGATTGCTTCTTAACGTCGCACTATAAGACCCTTCCGATGTTCAGAAGTGAAAAAAAATCCATCTAGTTTTAGGTCTTCTCACGTCTCTCTCTTTTTAACATTATATAAGTATGATAATTTTAAGAGTGTATAACTTCTTCCGGATTCAGTTTGATATTATAAAGCTGTATGTGTGGAAAAATAAATTTATAGATCAACCATATACAATATCGCAGTTGATCTACGGAAAATACAAAGTTTAATTCTATCTTTGAGCTTCAGTGTTTCAGAGGCTAACTGATATAAGGAGCAGTTCAATTAGCGATCTGCGGTTTCTTCTCTTTGACAAATTTACTAACAATATATAGTCAAACTATTACGTATCTATTTTTCATTGCTAGTGGGGTGGGACTAAGTCCCTTGTACTGCGGCCACTTCTGGCCTATTGTACCAGCCCAAGATGATAGATGAGGGTGATTCTGGAGCAATTGGTGGAATGAAGATTGGCAGGGAAAACCGAAGTACTCGGAGAAAACCTGCCCCAGCGCCAGTTTGTCCACCACAAATCCCACTTGACCAGACCCGGGATCGAACCCGGGCCGTCGCGGTGGGAAGCCAGTGATTAACCGCTTGAGCTATGGCGCGGCCATGTTGCATATCTAAGTAAATGCTGTGAACCTTAGTTCCTGCAAGAGCGGTGCGTAGAGTATTGAGTATTTTAATGCAGAAGACGTTAAATTCTGGTCACCCGAAGCACCCAGACCAGTAGGAACACATGAATTAAATTTTGATACCTTTAATACACGTAAACGGCTAACGCTTGCCACTCTATTCTCGTGAATGTTACATATACAGTAGTTGGCTGTACTTACGAATAGGGCACAGATGGCAGCAGTGTAAGACAGTTTTTGAGCCTATACTCAGTGTCAGTCTTTGCCAAAGTAAGTATATTTAGAGGGAAATAACTTGTATTAAATTTTATTTTTCTCTCAAATAAATTATCTTCGTATATGTAGCTGTCTTTCCATGCAGATACTGAGATTGTATTTTTCATGTGTTCTTTAAGGGAGAAAAATACGTAGTGTAATGAAATTGTACAGAGAATACTCTCCAAATAAGATGTGCAATCTACAATTTCTGATTGAAATTTCAACTGGTTTTACCCTAATAATAAACAGACGATTTAACTGATACTGGAGCTGTGTTATTCGCACAGCCCTTCTTGAGAAGCCGCCAATTCTGCAGCTACTCAAGAGCATCTCAGCATTTTCTGGAACCCGGAGGTTTATTACCATGTTCACAAGAGCCCTCCACTGGGCCATATCTTGAGCCAGATAAATCCAATCCATCCAATCCCATCCTATCTCTCTAAGATCCATTTTAATATTGTCCACCCACCTACGCCTTGGTTTTCCCACCAATATCCTATATGCATTCCTCTTCTCAACCATTCGTGCTACATGCCCTGCCCATCTCATCCTCCTTGGCTTGATCATTCTAATTATACTTGGAGAAGAGTACAAATTATGAAGCTCCTCATTACGAAACTTTCTCCAACCTCCTGTCACTTCATCTCTCTTCGGTCCAAATATTCTCCTCAGCACCCTGTTCTCAAAGACATTCAGTCTATATTCCTCCTTTAATGTCAGAGACCAAGTTTCACACCCATACAGAACCACAGGCAAAATTATAATTTTGTATACTCTAATGTTTATGTGTTTAGACAGCATTGGAGAAGACGTCTCTATCTACACACAAGACAACAAAAACACAAAAGAAAAGCAAGCAGACAGACATGTCTCGAGTGGGAATCGAACCCACGACCCAAGCGCTCGAGCGGGCGAAGACGGTCCGTGCCTAAGACAACGCGGCCACTGCGATCGGTCTAATTAGAGTTCATTCATTCATCAAAGACTGGACAGTCCTTTGTTCAACCCTGGCAGCTTTTTCAGTCTCGTAATCCTACACACAGTTGGTAGGCCTACTTGGATGATGATCAGCCCGTCGCAAGGCCAGGCAGGGCAACAAAAGCACAAAAGGAATACAAACATCATTGTCTCAAGTTGGATTGGAACCCACGACCCCAGCGTTCAGGGAGGCGAAGACAGTTCGTGCCTTTGAACGCGAGGCGACTGTGAAGGCCTGATTACAGTTACCGATATAAAACATGCTCGTGTATGCTAATTGAACTGGGAGACCGCTGAGAGCCACTGTTCAACGAAAATCGTCTTGTGGTATGTAGAATGTAATGGTTTAAACTTAGCAGCATTTAAACCATTCCGTGCTGGATTTCACTTTAATATTTCCATAGCAACGTATAATTTATATCCCTAAACAGCAACGAAAATTAAAATTTTAAGGGAGAGCAGGAATTAGTTCTTTCGAATGCAAAATAATTTCAATCTATTAGAGCCAATATTTTTAAGCGACATATCTCGTGATGAGAAATGAAGAAGTGTTATTTAGAGTCAGTGAGCAGAGGAATATCCTACACGGAATACGAAAACTGAAGGCTAATTGGTTTGGTCATATAATACGCGGTAACTGCCTTCTAAAAGAAGTTATTGAAGGAAAGATAGAGGGGGGGATAGAAGAGACCAGAAGACGAGGAAGAAGACGTAAGAAGATGCTGGATGACCTTGGGGACGGAAGAGAATATTTTCATTTAAAGGAGGAAGCTCTAGATCGCATCAAGTGGAAGAACTGTTTTGGAAGAGACTGTGGACCTGTCGTCTTGACAGATTACTGACGATGATGATATCTCGTGAGTAACTTTCGAAGTGTTAACAATGACAGAAGTCCCACAAGTTGACACGCGGAACATCAGGAGGCTTTTTTTTTTCACAACGAGACAGACCACTGTGGAAATGCAGCTGTAACCTTCAGAGAAGTGCTTCATTATGCGCAGTAACGATGGTTTACGACGTTTGCTAGAACAAGCACAGTAACACGAATCGATTCCAATACGAGCACGACAGAAGCGAAGGAGAAACAAACACATTAAAAGCGTTATAATAACATAAACTTTGTTTTTCTTTTTTCGAAAATGAATAACTCTCTTTTCACCTTGTGATACCAATCTTTATATTCAACCCACGGCACGAAAACAAGCAAATTATAATTACAGTTCCGTGACACTCCCTGTGTGATACATCAACTATGAAAGAGCGGGAAATGTAAAGACAACAAGTTTAATTGTGCTACACACAATATTGTTTTTTGTGTAGGCATGTATTTCTGTTTCGCCGAAATGTCACAGACTGTGTATGCATAGATACAGAAGTATCTGATATCTACAAGTATTTACTACATCAGGTTATTTCTCTCGCATCTTGCAAAGTGGTTAATTGGAAAATTATTTCATTCTCTATAGGAAGAGGCTTGAGATGGTGATATTTCGTGTGAGATGTCATGAATATAATTTCATATATTATACCCAGTTAAATATAGTAATTAGTTATTTTTTGCTGTAAGGCATTCCTACAGATTGTATATTTTATATACATATATATTTTGAAATTATTTTGAGAAGAGAATTCAGTGTTATTATTTCGACATAATCTTTCCAGTTTCTTAAAAAAATTGCATAATGTTATTGGTGATTTATGTGATTATATAAATATCTGCTTTAATAACGAACAATCGTGTATTCTTCGGTACATTTCAACAAATGTATTTCATCTAAGAGACCAGTTCATCTTCATTATGCCTCATAAATTGCATAATATACTAGACTCCAAAATGTTTAATATATTCGAACTGTCATATTACGTTGGCCTAGCCGTGGTTTCAGGCTTTGTTTTATAATATCATCTACTTTTATATTAATTAGTTTAGTGCGAAAAGTGTTTCCCATATACAGTACGCAGTTAGGATACGGGGAAATGAGTGTGTGGAACTGCTTGTGCTATATTAGCAACAAGAATGGAAAGAAGTTGACCATGTTAAATATGCAACTCACGTGGAAACGTGATATATTGTATCTTTCTATAAATAATGTTGGCTACTGAACGCTAACGTTTGTGAAGACTCGTGTTGTTGACAGAAATGAGAAATTGTGCAATTGTGTTTGTGTTTGTGCTACACTTTTGGTGTTGCTGTTGTATTAATACTTCTCCTAAGGTCGTAGCTGCTCTTCAGAGATATTTTTATACAAAGTGCGTTTTCTTATTGAATGCAGACGATCATGGTAAGTAGTCTTTCCATTAACACTGCATGTGGAGAAAAACGGAACATATTATGTTTAAAGTTATGTTCGCCTGACGCTGTAACTAACTGCATTTCAGTCAAGGATGTTGCAATCTTCTGGGCTGTAAAGCCGTGACGTTCAGGAAAAAGCAAACGTTTCGGAGAACTATATCGCCTCCACCCTCAGGGTCGAAATGTATGCCAAGCAAAAAAACAACAAAAAGTAGGCAGGCTTTCTACTTGCTTCTTGTTTGATTCTTACCTGTTTTATTCACATACCTTGGCGAAGGGGCATAACGTCAATGCTCCTACTATTACAAAATTCTACGTGTATGTACGTTATATAAGGGCTTTTATCAGTTATGAGAGTAAGTAAACAAACAAAACATTGCGTCTCTCACAAGAAGGAAATTTTCTTGATTCCATACAGATAAACCAAAAAGTTTTGCGACGATAATTTCTGGAGAATAAAATTATGTTTACGCAAATAAGAAAAAACGCAGACCAAAACAAAATATGACACTCGAAATTACCCGCTAACATTTACACTTCACTTCACGTGATGCATTGAAATTAAATACCTGCTTCCGAACAGCTGTCAGCGGATCCACGATCCCCGTCTCTAGTGTTAGCTCAGAAACACGCGCTGAAGCTCAAAAGCCAGTTGCCCTTATGTGTCAGTAAATGATATGTTATACGTACAAACTTTTCGGAATACAGATGGAAAATCAATACGGACTACACACCATTGTATCCCGGAAGACAGGATATTTCTTTACGTCACTGTTTGATTATCAAACGGCCTCAGATATGTCTTAGACTGATAATGCTGTTCGACTATTTATAACATATGCATTATAATGTTTCCCAGTGGCGGCTATGAACAGGTGGGCGAATAAAACTTAATCCCTATACCTATTATTAAAGAAAGATGAAAATTTGTGTGTTTATTTAAATGATGGGGGCACACGGTAGCGTAGTTGGTTGAGGTACTATGCTACAAGCNGTATAGGACTGCCGGAGCGTAAGGCTGACAATCTCACTGTCATATGTGAGCCGATTGTCTAGAAAATATGGGAGCCTCAACGTCTCACACCCTATGGGCCTTCAAGACTCGTTACAGGGACAGTTTATTTAAATTTTCTCATTTTAAGAACTTATTTTAAATCGCGTAAGAGCCCCATTTGCAGCAACTATAGTTTTTTTATTAACAAGAATATTTTAGACAAAGGGCTCTCCTCCGCCCACCCGGTGCCCTGGATCTGAATATTTTACACTTCTTTGTAGAAATACGGTGCCCTTGGTGTTCGGGAGGGATTCGAACCCCGCTAGTCACATCTCTGTCTTCTAACACCCTCGAGTCTATCGTACCGACTGAAAGACAGACCGACGCTTTTGTACTAAAAATGCTTCGTCAGGGACTCTCACGAGCATAAAAATATACCGTTTCCTTCAATTACGGGGCCGGGTCGCGTTGGTTACATTTTTGTTTCAGGTTCTTGAACAATCTTGGAACCAGTCGCTTCGAAGTTGTCCTTCATTTCTCTTCGACACTTCTTCACGATTTTTCTCATGTACAGTAACTCTTCAGTACCAGCGCTACAATTATTACTGTAACACGTACAGCCGTTGCTATGCAACAGGCGAATATATGACCGTTTCTGAGCAATGGTTCGGTAAATATGCTCTCGCGGGAAAGATAATTCTTGGGATCGTAGGCGAGGTTCTCCGTGAATTTCTTGCAATATATGAAACCTCTATAATGGTTGAGAAGAAACCTTTCTCTTCCATACTAAATGCAAACAAAGTAGAAAATCGTCAAACCATATTTTATATAGACAGGACACGATCCCTTAGACACTAACGACGGGCAGCCCCTGATGATTTATATAGACAGGACACGGTCCCTTAGACACTAAGGACGGGCAGCCCTTGATGATTCCAAAGTGTTCTTCAGCCTGTTTTTTCTCTTTCTCTCAGATCTGGTGGTGACAAGTTCTCTAGCACAGTGCCAGTTGCGGCTGTCCGACGAGATGTGCCCCACCGCAGTTGTCCACACGCTCAGCAGCCCAAGTGAGGCTGCTTCGATGTGCCAAAGAAGTCGCCCGCTGTTTCTTCTACATTCAAGCGATCTGGTCAAAATGAAGCCACTCCTTTCGGTAAGTTGCTTCGGAGTTAGAGACGGTCACTCTGTCTCAGGTCTATAATTAAATGCGTCTTTTCATACCCAACGTTTCAAAACGTAGCGAAAGAAAATGGCGTTTAAATCAAGCGATATGAAACCGAAGGAATGAAGTACGTACTACACGTGCCTCTTGTCTTAACATTAAAGTAATCTACATTTTACTCATATTTCGTATATTTCATACGAGTCTCACAATACACAACGCATAATGCACAGCGATTTCCCTAAACTACATCAACCGGTCGATCTTACTTACTGAGACCCAATATAAGATCAGAGCTTCTCACAGCCGTGGCTATTGTTACGCCATTTTCTTTACAGAGCAATGGCCCCAGTCCTCCCTCTCTTTATATCCGTAACCCTACCAACTTTCCCATTTTCGGCATACTTCTGTACCCTGAAGCTGGAAAGGTTGCTGATGATCTATCAGACCACACGGCATCACATAACATGAGGAAACTTCACTATGCTGCATTTGTTGAGTAAGGCAAGCGCTTATAATTTAAGCGAACAATGTTTAAAAGCCAAGAGCTTGTAATCTTCTCGAAGTACAATTAGAATGATCAAGTCAAGGAGGATGAGGTGGGAAGGGCATGTAGCACGAATGAGGGAGAAGAGAAATGCATATAGGATATTGGTGGGAAAGCCAGAAGGAAAGAGACCACTGGGGAGACCAAGGCGTAGGTGGGTGGATAATATTAAAATGGATCTTAGAGAAATATGATGGGATATTACAGATTGGATTGGTCTGGCTCGGGATAGGGACCAGTGGATGGCTCTTGTGGACACGGTAATGAACCTTCGGGTTCCATAAAATCCTGGGAAGTTCTTAAGTATCTGCAGATTTGGCTTCTCCTCAAGAAGGGCTCAGCTCCATAAGTAAGTAAGTAAATAAGTCAATATATTTAACTAAGGATATGTTTCTCCAGTTTGTAGAGGACAGGCGCTTCTCTAGTGCCATTTGGTTGCTGTTCCTGGACACAAAAGCGTCCCTGGAGGAGTTCTTCACAGACATTAACATTCCTTTCGACTGCGAGTTCCTGGTGGCTCAGTCACAAAATGGCGACGTCATCGCACTGACGGAAGTGTACCGAGTTAGCCCCACGCTTCCGCTGCAGACATACCGCTTCGGTAACTGGTCTCCTGGTGGCGGCCTCACCTGGCCCTCGCAGGGCTTCTACCAGAGGAGGAGCAAGTTGAAAGGACTTGTACTGAGGACAGCGGTTTTAAATGTATGTTTAGTGTACATCACAATTTTCTCTGCACTTAAATGTATCAACAAGAACCTTCTAGGGTTCTTAACCCAGAATTTTTCTGTTTTGTTTCATATTGTTTTCAGCCTAAGAAAAAAGACATTGCTTCAGAGTGTCTGAGAACAGCGTGTTGGGGAGAATATTTAATCCTAAGAAGAAGAAAATAACGGAAGGAAGGTGAAAACTGCTTAAAAAGAGCTTCATAGTCTGCATTCCTCACCACACAAGACTACGATGATAAAATGAGATGGGCGGAACATGTCGCAGATATGGGAGTGACGAGAGATGCATATAGAATTCTGGCCGAAAAGCTCGAGGGGTGCGCCCACATGGAAGATCTGGCCATAGATAGGAGGATAACGAAATAGTTCTTAAGGATATTGGATTTAAGGATGTGAACTTGATTAAGCTGTCTCAGGCGGATTCCTATGAGCCTTTGGGCTCCATAAAAGGAAGGGGGAGGCCATTTCTTGAAGAGGCGAGACTGCCGAGCAGACTGGGGTGGCCGTAAATATCTGGATTTGCTTTCGGTACGTGCTTTGCTCGAATCTTGACCGTAACACCACCTAAGTGTACTGTGACTTTTCGTGGATTTCTCAGCCACTACAGGCAAATACTGGGACAGTAGGACTACCTCCGTTAGACCACGATCAATTCCTTGAAAATTATTCCGAATTCATCAATAACCCTCTTTGATGATATGCCTATATAATCTAGGTACGGTCAGGCTGACAGGGCAGTAATGAAGATAATGTGGTATGTAGACCTGTTGCTAGGCAGCGACAGTGAAACAAGAAACTATACAGCAGCCATTACTAAGTAATGGCTCCGCAAGAAAGCATGTTTCTACGGCAAAGAGAATACAGCAATAATGGAAGGGACGTTTTCTACGCTGTCCGCGACGAGATGATATTACCAGGATCAGTTAGCAGTTTCAGTTAGTTAGAGGAATGTGACGGTTCAGTTGTTGTGAACTGTTGCTGTGAGGAGCTGGTAGCTGAGGCCGGGACTCGTTTGGGAACCCAGAGGAAGGGGAACGCTCGCTGTTAGAAGCCGCCACCCAGCAGCACAGTGAGGACGTGACTGTGGACACTAGTGTGTGTGTGTGTGTGTGTAATAGTGAACTGTAAATTGTAATAATGGGTTGTACATCAAAGAGTGTAATAAATCCCATTACCAATCCAAACCCCGTCTATAGTCACACTCTTATCATGTGACAATACGAAAGAAATTATTTCCGTCGTCCTCTGTAACAGACCATACTCTAGTAGTATTCGGTGGTGGTGATAATAGTAGTACAGTAAAACCTGCCTTAAACGGACCCTTTATTAAACGGAAATATTTTCAGGTCCCTTGACTTTGGGGCTGAAAAAAACGTTAAATAACCTGGATTAAACGGAAACTGTCTAACGCGGACAACGGAAATCAAAATAAGCCTTTATACGGAAAATTTCCAGTCTTCCGCAATGCATCGTTCAGAATAATTTTAGGCATCCTATACATTTTACTTTCCAACGTGCGACTTGCTTGGTTCCCTCCAAACACCACTAGTGTTTCTCAACCAATGGATCAGGGCATCATTCGGAATGTTAAGGTCCACTATCGTAAATTATTAATGCAATCTTTGCTCGTCAATATAGATTCTATATCATCCGCCTCTGAACTTGCAAGAACTGTCTCGGTTCCAGATGCGGTTATTTGGATAAGTCAAGCAGTAAAGAAGTTGTTACCAGAAACTGTGACAAAGTGTTTCTATGGTAGAAGTTACTCCTAGTGGAGAAAATGAGAATGACCAGAAGGACTTACAACATTGCATGAATGAAGCTGCTTTCAGTAACTGCAATTCTGAGGACTACATCAACATAGACAAAGATGTGCAAACAGAACCAGACACAATGGATATCGATGTATTAGTTGAGAATTTTAGAGAAAATCGAAAATGAAGAGAGGAGGAGGAGGAAGAAGAGGAAAATGACATTGTGATAGAAGAAGAAAAGTGTAGAGTCAAGACTTATCAGGATGCTACCAACAGTTTAAAGGTACTGCAGGAGTTTGCCATGCAACGGAATGATTCAGACATGCTTAAACTAATTTCTCAAGCTAAAGTGTTTGTGGAAAGTCAGGCCGCCAAGAAAGTAAACTGCGTGCAAAAAACTCTGCTGGAGTTCTGGTAAAATTATAAAAAGTGACTACTGCAATTTTTTCCTGTTCAGTGTAATGTTTGCATGTGTTCAATGATTATAATGTGAATAAATTCATGAGCATGTTGTTTTGTTTTGTCTCAAATACGTTTATGTCCTGGTTTAGTTATTATAGAATACCTTGGTTAAAGGGAAACCTGGCTTCAGCGGAAATGTTTTCTGGTCCCTTGAGATACCGTTTAAGACAGGTTTTACTGTAGTAGTAGTAGTAGTAGTAGTAGTAGTAGTAGTAGTAGTTATACTCCCTCTTTCTGTTACTCATATTTTAAAAATTAATTTGATGATAAATTGGGGCACGCGGTAGCGTAGTTGGTCGAAGGGCTATGCCACAAGCCGGAAGGTCGCGGGTTCAAGTCCCGATGAGGTAACTGGAATTCTTTTCAGTTGACATTATCCTTCCAGCTGCACTATGGCCCTGGGTTCGACTCAGCCTCTAAGAGAAATGAGTATCAGGAATTAGTTAAATAATTATCCTGGGGAGTAAAGCGCGGCCGGGGCGTAAGGCTGACAACCGCCATCTTTGAGCCGATTGTCTAGATAATGTGGGAGCCTCACCGTCTCACAAACCTATGCGCCTTCACGGCTTCTTACGGGGATAGCTTTGCTTACTTTTTACTTGCTGATAAATTGCAGGCTTTCTACACACAAATTGTAGAAGAAAGGAGCGGCAAGCCAATTAAAATATCCGGATTCTTCGGGGAAATGTGGAAGTTGCTCGAGGAACGACTAGAATTCAAGTAAGTAAATCATATCTACATCGCTCGCTGTAAGAAGGAAACCGAAAGCACTTTCCTTTATATACGAGTATGTGCGTGTTGTGACGTGACGCGCCTAATTGTAACTCGGAAGAGCGCCACAAGAGTCCCGACCCGGCATAAGTTAACTTTATTGGAATATGACGCCGTGTAGTTTATTAGAAGATTATAAATATTTCGAAAGAACATACTGTCTCCATCATCAGGATATGACTGCTGCCTTGATACTCACTGCAATGAGGATTTCAAATGCTACATTTTGACTGAGGTTTCTCATGACTTTCCTCAGTACCTCCAAGCAAATACCGCGACAGTATCCCATATTAAGCCACTACTCCTTCCACATAACTTGAAATTCTTCATACGTAATTGTGTGGAATTTGAGGTTATCACAGTGGTAACTATGAAGATTACAGTCTCTTGGTATGTGACACCGTACGATCTGGTGGGTATTTTCCAAATTATCGGAGGAAAGTCGTGAACTGAGATTGTACGAGTATATTGAATGAATCTCAGGGCACAACAAGAAACGTCTGTACTGGTGGCGTCTTCATCAGATAGTTAAGATAGTTATATAAACAAATCCCTAAAGTTGCCTACTTGAGACATGAGATGTTTAACTGGAATCTGATTGTAACAGGTCTGATTTCTACAAACCGAGCGATAATTACTTTGGGGCCCCCACTGAGAATGGATCATGGAACGGCATGATCGGCATGCTGCACAGAGGCGAGGCAGACTTCGCAGTTGCCAAATTTGTGATGAGTCCTGCCCGCTTACAAGCAGTGGACTTCATTTCAACTTTAGAAAAAGTGAAGTAAGTTACGAATAATTCTGTCACACATTTGTGAACACTAGCTGAATGGTGCCTGCTCAGGGCCATCGCAACCTCCTAGCTCCGTGATAGGTGAGTATGGAGAAATGGTGGAATCATATTTAGCGAGTGAAATCCGAGTGAACTCGGGGGGAAAATCTACCCCAGTATCACTCTGTTCACCGCGAAATCTCAAATAAAATTGCCTGAGGCTGAAGTCCAGGCTCTGAGATGGGAATCCAGTGTCCAACCTCCTGAGCTATGCACGGTAGAAGCGTCGTTAAATTAACAATACTTTTCTTATTGCTAGTGGCGTGGAACTAAGTCCCTTGTACTGCGGCCACTTCTGGCCTATTGTACCAGCCCCAGATGATAGGTGAGGGTAATTGTGGAGCAATTGGTGGAATGAAGATTGGCAGGGGAAACCGAAGTACTCTGAGAAAACCTGCCCCAGCGCCACTTTGTCCACCACAAATCCCACTTGACCAGACCCGGGATCTAACCCGGGCCGCCGCGGTGGGAAGCCAGCGACTAACCGCTTGAGCTATGGCGCGGCCCTAAATGAACAATAAGTAAATATGGTATATCATATATTCAACAGTCGTGGTAGCTCAGCCGGTATAGAGACGATCTGCGGGCTGAACGACCTAGATTCCATTACCGGCTGAGACAGAGTTCAGACCGGCTCTGGGGCCCACCCAGCCCGGAGGTAAAGGGGCCATGTTATTAAGCTGACCACTCACCTCAATCCAGTGCCGAGTTCAAGAAGAGTGGAGCTATACCTCCACTCCCTCATACATCTTAGGGACTATTACTATCACACATCCTTCCGAGCTGACATATTTGTTTGTCTCTGTTACAGAACAAGACTCTTCATCAAGGAGCAGAGATCACTGCACGTGAAATGGGACGAATTCCTGAGACCCTTCACCAAGAGGCTATGGATACTGCAATCGTTTGCGATGATCCTCATTGGCCTTTGTTTCGGAGTGGCATATCATGTCGGTCAGAAGCTAGGTCTTGAGGCCGGTGTAGCCTCGATACTCCAGAACCTCTACGACGCCTTGTTCTATACTTTCGCCAGTTTTTGTCAGCAAGGTAAAACATCGCACGGAAAACAGTACGGCATTCTGGGTTGTAACGCAGTGTAGTTCGGAGTCCGACGTTTCGGAGGAACATAGTGCCACCATCTTCAGGTTCAAAAAATAACCCAAGTAAGAAACCAGCAGAAACAGGGGGAAAGATCAGCCGACGTTTTGAAGGAACGCGTTACCACCTTCTTCAGAGTAGAACCAAAACGTGGGTAAATATCTACCACACTACACGGTGTCATGACCTAGTATGCATTGTATTTGTCGTGACATTCGAGTTTCTCACGACGGTGACCATAATGATTGTTCTTTTCTTGGCTGTAACGCCGTGTAGTCTGGTAAATGCTTACTGGCTTTTGGAGGTACATCCTGCCTCCGCCTTCAGAGCAGAGGATCCGAGACATAAACCAGACTACACGGTATCATACCCCGAGGAGTATTTCTTGTTTTCGGGTTGACAAGCTTTATTGTTGCAGGGCGCAGTGTAACACCGCGGATGCTGTCCTGTCGCGTGGTGTTCGTGACGTCATACTTCACAGCAGTGGTACTCCTTGCCGGCTACTCTGCCTTCCTCATCTCCGTACTGACCACCAAAGAGACAAAAGAATATCCCTTCACCAGTTTCAAACAGTTCCTTGCGGATGGCAGCTTCCAGCTGGGAATGCTTTCGGACTCAGCCTTCACGTTCTACTTTGAGGTATGCATAATTCCTTGCTCGTTTATTTGATAGCTCAGTCGGTATAGAGACGGACTACTGATAGGACGGGTAAACGAATCTGGGTATGACTCCGGCGGAAACGACAGATTTTTCCTCTTTTCGGCGGCGTCCAGTCCGCCTCTGGGGCTCCACCGATCCTTCTATCGAATGGGTACCAGACGTCTTTTCTAGAAATGAAGCGGCTAGGGCCTGAAACTGACCACTTACCTGCAACTAGTGCCGAGGTTAAGAATGCCTGGAGTTATGTTTACATCACTGCAAACTAATGGCTATAATATGAAAACAAGAGCAGTAGAAATTCGCTTTCATTTATTGAATTGAATTGAATTGAATTTATTTACATTCTATAAATCCTAAGTAGGTTAGTACCTTTGGATACAGAACAAGTCAAAAGGTTACATACATAAGTACAGGCAATTTTAGCTTAAAAATTAATATAACTTAATTTTACATCATTCTCTATTTACATTGAAGTATTCATCTAAAGAGTAGAAGGAATGAGCATGTAGATAATTCTTTAACTCTGATTTAAACTTTTTAGTATCATTGCCGAAGTTTTTAATACTTTGTGGCAGATTGTTGAACACTTTTATGCCAGTAAAGTAGACTCCTTTTTGATATACTGATAAAGTTGATGAGGGTAGGTGGAAGTTATATTTTTGTCTAGTATTCATGTTATAGACATCAGAATTTAATTTGAATTTATCTTTAACGAATTTAACGAACAGTCAGAAAAACATTTTACCCCTTAGCGTCACGCGGCTGGAGCTCCACAAGTGGCTCCACTGTCGGAAGAAGATGTCTTCCATTATGGTCCTGAACACGGGGCAATGACCCATCTTCCCAGCTTCTTCTCAGGGTCACCTAATGCCACTTGATTTTTCACCACCTTTTTTCACTAACAATATAGACGCTTTCTATTGGTTAACATCCCGCGCCTTTGTTCCTCTAATCACTGCCATTAACTATATGGGAGTTCCCTGTTAATTAACAAGGCTTTCAACATACCCTACATGTATGATTATATAACAAAATTCTCCAGTTAGCAAACGGAAGTCATATAAAATCATGAAAATACAAATGTTCGCAATATTGGACAAGGCGAAACCCGACAAGAGGCTTGAACTTGGCTGCAGTCAAAAATAAGACCGTTCAAGTGATTAAGCTGCCGTTGCAGCGGGAATTACGTGCTTAAGATTGGGCATGATTTGCTGTTTCCAGCCTGGACTGACAGAAGCCTTGTATATATATATATTGTGTGCGTGCGTGCGCTTCTGTGTGTGTGTAAGGTATTCTACCATTTACTGTACATATAAAGCTGTAAATATCAAGTATATTGACAACTGGCAGACTATGACTATGACAAAGGACAGACCAGTCTTCTCATCAGAGAGAGCTCCCCATATCGACAAACCCGAAACTGTCCAAAAGTATCTAGTTAAGTGGTCATCAACCGCAAATGGGGCTCAACACCAGGATGGACAGACTAACTGAACGTAGGTCGCAATGTGACTTTAACTAGGTAACACACCCACTGTCTCTTCATCCAATCATGACATATTAACCATATGGGCTCCACAGTTAGAGACCAAGGTCTGGTAATGTGATGCCCATTAGAGAAATGGTGTACCTCTGGAAGTCGTGATAAATGAGTATGGAACAATGGCGGAATAATAATTAGCAGTGTAAAACCAAAGAAACTCAAAGCGAACCCTGCTCCAGTGCTATTTTATCCACCACGAATTTTACACCGACGCCCGGGATTGAAACCAAGGCTCCACGGTGAATACACAGGAAATTACTTGCCTTTCATAAAACTTGAGAGCTCACCAGAGCCCGCTACTAGTTCCTAATCTCGCAGACATAAATTCAACCCCATTTCATACCCTCATTCTGTAAAATCCTTTTGAATATTATTATCCATACCTTGATCTTCCCAGTAGACTCTTCCTTTCATGTTTTCTGATTAAAATGTGTGTATTCTCCATCGCACCCACCCACACTACATCCCCCCACCATTCTCATTCTCTGTGATTGCATGCCCTTAATAATATTCTGACTTTGAGAGTCTCACAGCAGTGACTATGAAGATTGCTGTCTTCTGGGATGACATCGCACAGGCTGGTAGATAACTACTGACGATTCAGACCCTAGCCTTCTGTAACACCAGACTATACGGCATCACACTGCGCCTTGAGCATTATGTCCTAGCGGTAATGCTCTGCACTTGTATTCAGGAGGTTCTAGGTTTGAAACTTGGCTGGGATGCCTGTTATCTTGACTGAGGTTTTTAATAGTTGTCTTCAGTCCTCCAGGCAATTACTGGGTTAGTACCTCGATTAGATCATAATTGCTTCCTTCTAAATCTCATCCAATTATCCTACCATCCAACACTGTACAGTCCATGTACTGAAGGCATAGTAAAACAACACACCATACATGGCATCACATCCCCAAAAGACAGCAATCTTAACAATATTTATTGGAGAGTATAAATTAAGTAGTTCCTCATACATTTTTCCCTAATCACCTTGTACTTCCTCCATTCTAGGTTCAAATATTCTCCTCAGCATCCTGTTCCACTTGTATGAGAGACTCAAAAATTGATACAGCATCGCCAAATGAACTCCTGAACTTACTTTTCCTGTAGAATTCAACAGACCCTGTTATGCAGAAGATATACCAGACAATGATCGCACCAAACCAACAAAATTTCCCATCTTCGGATGATGAAGGGTTCCAGAGGGTGTGTGATGTGCCCAATTATGCCTATATTACATACACAGAGCCAGGGTACCGGGAGACAGGGGCCTTCAACTGTGACCTTACGGAGATTCCGCAGATTTACATCCCAGGATCACTGGCCATAACGACTGTCAAGAACAGCCCTTACAAAGGAATCTTCAATTCAGTGTAAGTGATTCCTAGGCAGTCTTTACATTAAGTAGGATAATAATTATCTCGGAACAAGCAGAGTCTACGCATTCTTTACAAAGTATAGAGAAAGTCTGTGCATCCGTGATGCAGTATTAGCACCTAAACCTCTGTGTAGACTGAATACTTTCACTAAAAGCTGTTTGGAAATTCTAATCCTGAGTTATACTGATCCATTACAAAGTCCACCTTAATTAAGGAAATTAACAAACCTTTTCATGTAGCCCATCAAATGGTTCACAAGTTCTGTTGTAATCCAATACTGTGAACTATGCTGCTGATATACAGAGTGCCCCAGGAGGAGAGGTAAAAATTCTGGGAAGACATAGTATCAGTCATTCTGAGCAAAAAAGTATATATGTACGTGTCCCATGCTGAATGGTTTCCGAGATAGAGCTGTTTCACTGCACAGTAGTTTTGATTTGATTCCCAATATTGTCCTTCACTCCCACATGTGAATCAGTGTGAAGCAACAGTTTGCTGTTGTGACTGTTGATAGTGACATTGTAGTAGTGTTGTGAAAAATTCTGCACATCTTCACAAATGCTGAAGATGCTGTATGCTGTCCACATATGAGTTGCAAAGTGCATTGATGCGACGGCAGAATTTTTAAAAATGTACAAATGTATTATACTAGATAAACTGTACCAACTCTGTCACTTGAACAACAAATGCTGGTATTAGAAACAGTACGAGTATGTAATATGTTCCTTATCAACAATTTTGTAACTGTACAGTGAAATAGCTCTATCTTGGAAACTGCTCAGAATAGGACACATGTGCATCTACACTTTTTTGCTTAGAGCGACCGATACTATGACCTCTCAGAATACTGACCTTTCCTCCTGGGACATTCTGTATATATTCTGGCAATTTTATCTAATGCATTTTGTGTTTTGCTGAAATCCCACTTATAAATTGACAAGTTTCATCAACTGTGAAGAAAAACTTTAGTAATTTCATGCACCACAGTATGGAACACAGGCTTGCCAACTTTGCTCCTACTGCCATTTGTCCAGGCCAGTTCTAGGGCCACCCAGATTCCTATCTGATGAGTACTACTGACATTTTCTTGGGTTAAACTGGCCAGGATATGAAGCTGACCACTATTTCCATCTAGTGCGAAGACCGAGAATGTACGCAATTATATCTCTGCCCCCTCTCCAAATGTCTTCATGGCATGGTGCTTAACTAGGCACATGGGCAAATTCTATCTTTCACATAAATCTGAGGTTGGTGCATCTGGATATGTGGTTCTTCTACAGAAATAATTAAGTTGGAATAAATTTAGTGTTGAGTCTTATAATTAAAATTCTTGGGTATATTTTGGGTCATATCTGCTTTCAACATAACACAAACTGCATTTCATAAAATTTCTCATACACTGGCCAAATGACCAATGACCAATTATCAAAAAATTTATACACAACATAAAATATGTACACACCTTACATATGGTTGCCTTCCGGGATTTAACAACTGACCACAGTGGCTGTGCAATCTAAGGCATGAAATGTCTTTGCCTGCTTAAACACTGGGATCATGAGTTCAAATCGCACTTCAGGCATGTCTGTCTGCATTTATTTTGTTTATGTTCTGTGCAGGTAGCAGCCTTGCAAAAGGCTGATTCCTGTCTAAAGAGTCCTAACGACCACCTAAAAGATTATGAAACTGAAATGAAACAGCATTTCAAGGATGCCCTATGCTCCAGAAGGAGCAAAAGGAATTAACCAACCAACTAACTAAAGATTTAACAACATGTAGTCTGGCAGACAGATTACATTTTGAATACGGAAAGAGCAGCAGGTTCCTCTGAAACCGACTAAACATCTACCAGACTACATGGCTTTATAGCCTACAAGACTAAATCTTCATATTTTCTGCCACAAGAAATCTCATGTCCCCTCCCCAAAAGTGATTCAAATAATTTTTTCTGAAACCAACACTGACATTATTTTGACTGTCTTTTGTAACCTAATCACACACTATGATATTAACATGCACATATTAAGGGGCTGGGCAGTCATGGAACCCACAACATTTATTATTAATTTAAAAATAAAGATCTATACAGTGTATGGTTACCCTTCCCTCAGTTAACAATTAAATTAACCCTTTAAAGCACAGTCATTACTATACATACCACCTGTCTTAAAATACCAAAACACTACATTTCTCCCATGAAGTACTTATATGTTTCATATGGTTCTCACAACAAACAATGACTATTTTCCTAAACAGTGTTAACTGGCTGGTCTTCATAATGGACATGTTAATGTCTCCTGTAAGACAGGAGGCAAATTTTTATGTTATCTGTATAAACTTCAGCTTCTAAAGATTTAATTCAAACACAGACACATTAACATATTTCTTGGAGAATATCTAAAAAAAATATTGCACTTCCTGTATCAGTCTGAAAGCCAAAAACAGAACTGCAGTAATCTGGAGGGTTAACATTTACAAGAAAGTATACATATGCAATATTTAAATTATCTTTATTAATGAAATTTGTGTATACACAGTTTTCATCAACACAAAGACATAATAAAGTAAAATAGAGTTGTCCCTGTGCTTAACTAATTAAGCACTATGCCATGTAGTCATATGATGGAGTGGATCTACAGATCCACAATTTCTTGACCTCGGAACTAGCTGGAGATGAGTGGTCAGCTTCACACCCCTGCAGCTTTAACCCTGAGGAAGAAGCCTCTGGTACCCACTGGATAGGAAGTTGGGTGGACCCCAGAGCTGGTCTGGATAATGTGGAGAAGAGAAAATTCTTAATCCTACCAGGACTAAAAAATCCTACTCATCAGTAGTCCATGCAGCCTGTAGCCAGTTGCTATACCGACTATGCTTTCTTGGCTCCCTCCTGAAAATATAATACTGATTTTAATTAATAATTATGACCAAATGCATTTTCCTTGTTGATACAGAATCCGGAAGTTGAAAATATATGGGGTCCTGAAGAGGTTGCATACAACGTTTTACCCCTCCAAAGTGCCCTTAATGGAGATTCCTAGACCAGCAGTGTACCTGGTTCAAGTAACACCAGTACTGACTCTCCTAGGTGCTGCAACCTTGATTGCTACAGTACTGCTCCTGGTGGAGAATAAGGCAGCTTACATCAAGACATGTCTCCAGCTCAGCTGGAAGAGATTAAACCAACTATTATTCACTCCGGTCTTGTACAGTCCTGCACATAATAGGAAAAGACATATGTAAAAGTATAACTTGAGAATGACAAGACTCATAAATGGAAAATATTCAACCCTCTACATTTAAATTAACGAATGTTCCACATTTTCCAAGCAGTCCCAGTTATGAAGACATTTTCTTCAGATGATTCTTCAGGATCTAAATTTCAGCAACTGCTGAATGTTACAGAAAGACACTGCTAATTTTACAAAATTTTGAACTGTTTTTACTGCAACATATATAATTCTTTTAGTGTATTACTTACTTCAAACTTCCTTACTCTGTAATTAACCAAGTGCTGGGGTCAGAAACGTAGCCCCAGACACAGAGACCAAAGATGTGGCAAAGTGCTGCCTGGTCAGGACAATCACATGCCTCAGCAGCGACTGATGGGTATGGAGCAGTTGCAGAAAATGGGAAAACTGAAGAAACTTGGAGAAAAATCTCTTCTGCTGCCACTTCATACGTCATGAATCTTACATGGTATCAGCCAGAATTTAGCCCAAGGCTCTGTGCTGAAAATCCATCATTTAACCATCCAAGCTATGACAGACCCTATAACTGACATTATACGTACATAAATGATGATTGGAATTCCAACTAGAAATGGCGAATTTACTCTAAAAAAAGTATCTGTAAAGTACTAGGATTCTATTTCCTTAATTACTGTATATATCTGTAAATTTTAATCAACTTATTGGAGAAAAATCTATATACATTTTCAGGTAAATATGGAAAAACTGAGTAGTTTTATTCTTATCACAGCATAATGTAGGAGCTGTCATGTTTATGTCTTCTCTTCACTTCCCGTTGTCACCTGGCAGCAAGGATGGCAGAAAACAATGCTCTTTCAGACTACAGATGAGTACCAGTCTCCCAGCATGACAAACATTATTTGGCTTTGACTAATTAGAGACAGATATATAAAGTTCTATATTATAGAACTGGTCTACTTCCATTTGACTAAACTTGTTAATATAATATACTTACCTCTGATTGTATGATTATGTTTTAATTCTTTTTGTACAGTGTGAAAGTCACATTATCTGAAAGTTTAAAATTTAAATAAATTCTAAAGAGTTCTGATGATTGTATGTTGTACACTGGCTCACTGGGTTTTAGAACTTAGTTCATCATTTAGTATTTGGAACACAGCATGACATTTCGAAAAGTGAATATGCTCCTGCCTTCAGGTGACAAGGTGAGGAGGCACCAACTCAGTTCAGACTATTCAAAAGAGCCAAATTCAATCAATGAACCAGTAACTGCAATTAGGTAGGAGTACTTTAGAACATGAGGATGGAAAGGTACACACAACTGTACAACACCTTAAATCATAAATTTTCAAATGAAACTGAGGCATTCCAGCTGAGCCAAAATGTACTATACACTATCAGGACAAAAATTCATCAAAAAACTTCTCATGATAATCATACAGGATTATGCACAACATAAAATATACATAGAAGTTCAAAATAACAGGAATTTCACTAAAAAAATTAACTAAAAAGATTAACAGAAACTAGAAACAATATTCATATTTGTTAACAAAATATTTTTGAATAAGTAAAATCATATAATAATTTTATTTAATGTATGAATTACAATAAAATTGTCTCTTACAAGTATCCATCATATAAATTCATCACATTTCTACTGTACATAAGGAGAGTAAATCAGATTTAATCATATTAAAAGTATGGTTCTTTCTCACTACACAGGTATCTCCAGATTTATGCAACAGTTGTGCTCTCAGGAGTCATTACGTAACTTGAATTCATCTGACTTGAAATGTATACTTATTCTTGTTACTCCACTGATTTCTCTGTCAAATTTTCATATAGAAAACGTGTAATTCAGTAATTTTTGTTCCATTTTAACTGCCAAAGAATCTTTATCTCCTGTTTTAGACAAGTAATTTCATAACGCTTCAGTCTTCACAAAGAAAATTAAACCTACCCCAATTCATAAGAAATGCATTAAGACAAACTTTGCATAAGTCATGGGATAATTGTACTTTCATACAAAACCAAGGCAGTGGTAATGCTAAACATATTTGGAGATTACAGCTTTCTAGGGCGTTACGCCCTAGTCTAGTAAACAGGTACAAACATTTAAGAGGAATCTGATGCCTCCATCTGGCAGGAGGTTCCCTTAAAATGTTAGTACCTTTCTGCTAAACTACACAGTGTCATATCCCAGGATATGTAATCTGCATGGTCATTATCATGAGAACATCAAATCTCACACTGACATACTGGTCTGTAATAAAGCTCACACATTACAGATATCAGTTTGTTGATGAACCATGGACAGTGTAAAGTTGTTTATGCTATAAGAAAAGTCACATTTCATTCTCTGATATAATAGTCACACATTTAAAGTGACTTAATTCCAAAGGATAAAACCCTTTCTGAGCTGACAGGGTCTCAGATACTCCAGAAATTCCCTCTCCCTGCCATGGAACCCAAAAGTTCAGTACTGTGTTCACAATCATTCACTGCAGATCCCTTCACATCCTCCAGCCCCATTTCTTTAAAATTCACATTTATATCATTGTCCCATCTATGCCTAGGTTTTCAAAGTGGTCTCTTCCCCTCAGATTTCTCCCCTCTCACATGCACGCTACATGCCTTGGCCATATTGTTCTTACAGAATAGGTCAGTCTAGAGGGAAATACTCTATCCTATTTGGAAAGTGCACATTTTGAATCTCAGCTAAGACACCAGGTATTCTGACTGGCATTGTTAGTAGTCTTCCTCAGCCCCTCCACACAAATGCTGGGAGAGTACCCTAATCTGACAACAGCTGCTTCCAATTCATCATTCATCAGTCATCCTATCATCAGAAGGTATATTGTCTCCACACTGAAAAGTATCATTAAATAATGCACATATCAGCCTTCTTCATTTTACCACCTTTAAAAATTCTTTGAAGGGTACGAAGTACAAAGTTCCTCAGTATGTAATTTCTGCCATGCTCCTGTCACTTTCTGGAATGAACAAATATTCTACCCATAATCCTGTTCTGAAACATTGCTGATCTATGTCCATAACTTAATGTCAGATATTGAATTAAGCATTCATGTAAAACAACGGGGAACTATATTTTAACTTCATGCCTGTAGGTAAAAAAGGTAAAGTTGTCCCTGGCATAGTACCATGAAGACATATGGGGGAGTGGATGTATAGATCCACATTTTCTCAATCTCGACGCTAGTTGTGAGTGGTCAGCTTCACGCCCTGGGCCGTGGAAAGAGCCCCCCAGTACCCATTGGGTGGGAAGCTGGATGGGTCCCAGAGCTGGTCTGGACGATGTGGAGAAAAGAAACTTCTTGACCCTACCAGGACTCAAACTCTGACCCACTGACTGTCCAGCCCGCAGCCAGTTGCTATATAGACGGCGCTATTCTGGCTCACTTGTGCCTGTAGATAGCACACACATAAACTTCCATGCAACCTGCTTTCACGCTTGTATTTTGCTTGGTTTATTCGACACTGAAGCTGAAGATGACATATTCCTCCAAAATATCAGTTGACTTTCAACAGACTACACAGTATTATATCACAGAAGACAGAACTCTTCATAACCACCTCTGTGAGAACCTCAGATCCTACATACAAACAAATCATTCTCAAATGGTGCTGCCTGATCATGGCTATCAAACACTTCAGGGCACGATGGCCGATGTGCAATGGTAGAAAGATCACAATCACGAGAAACTGAATGGAAAATCTGCTTCAGTCCCACTTCAACCATTGTAAATCTCACATGAAGTCACCCAGAATTGAACCCAGTCCTCCACAGTAAGAAGCTTGCATGTAACTTCCTGAGTTATGACCACACAATATATCATGATTATGTATTAAGCAGTGCAGCATTCCTACCAGTGAAAATCATGTTGGTATTATTAAAGACAAGAAATTAAAATGTCCATAGGTAGAGTGGTCTCTATTGGCATAATGTTCACATTAAATTTCATTAAACTAAACCTATTAGTTCAAAAGTTATTAGGTGGACACACAGACACAATGATACCACAACCTTATATGTCCTTAAAAAATAGACTAGAATCACATACAACACTCTATCAAGCTGCCTGCACTGATATTTCTAACCTTAAAATATGCATATATAGTAAATTAATCTGCTACACTGTATTCAGTCTTATTAGCTAGATGCACAATACTTCAGGGAATCAGATAACCTGCCATATACTAATAACAACCCTGACTTAAGGGCACAGTGCAAGGTCAGAGAACTACCTTACACAGACTTTCTCAGTTTACTTTCAGAGTATTTAAGTCAGGTTCAAATGCTTGGATGGATTGGGGACCATATTACAAAACTACCCCAGTTTCTCACTTAGTACATGATATCAGGTTTCCCTTAGAGATGGCAGTGATGTTCAGACACTTCACCGAGTCTTCAATGCTTCAGTAACACACTTCTGTAATCTTCTGTAATGCATCTTCATGGCAGTGGAAATTTTGTCTTCATTATGTGCAGATTTTTGCAAGAAATAATCAAAGCTCCAGTGCATTTTCCTGTACCCAAAATTCTCAACTACAACTGGTTACAGAACATCTCAAGGCATTAAAATTATTACAAGTTTTACGCATGTATGGCGACATATACTTAAAATATACATTTCCAAACATATTACTGGTATTCGCTGCAGTAATCTTGTAAAGTAAATAACAAAGATAAAAGCCTAATTTTTTCTTTAAAAAAATGGCACAAATGCAATAGACAGAATGCATGCATTCTGAGGAAAAATTTGAAAAATATTTACTGAGGCCAATTAAACTGTAAAAAGCACTAATTTGGCTTTCATTTATTTGTAAGCCACTGCTTAGGGCCTGAGGTTTAAACAGGGTGTGAATACAAATGTTTGTAAAGTTTTGTTTTGGAAAACACTGTCACTCACTCACATGAAGTGAGTTTACTCTGCAAGACAGCAAAAAGCAGAAATTCACAGCAGTAACTTATATTGTTCCTGCATTTAATTAAGCACCACACCACAAGGACATACAGGGAGATGACTGTATACGCCCACACATTCCTCACCTCAGCCCTACAGAAATAAATGGTCTGGTTCTTATGTCAGCTTCTTTACCTCTGGAGGAACATTCGTTGATACTGTAACGTGTTTTGTCGTCGAATCCTGTCGGTCACGTGTGTAAGTCCAATCCCACTTCTGACACCAGTGTAAAGTGTTTTGTTACAGAAGACGCCGTACAGATTGTTAATTCGTTTATTTAACAACCTACAAGTATTGGCTACAATTAATTATAACACAGATGCGGGGTTTCACACTTTATAACCCTATTCGCAATAATCTCTTCACTCTATCTTCAGTAGGCTACACATATTAATTACGATACGGGAGCTATGTAAGTGTCCCTGTATCACACACTCACTGTCTTTGGCTGCTTCTATATTTCATGGCACCACTCCTTAACACACACTAACTCGTTCACTGTTCACTGGAGAACTGTCTTCGGCGACTGATGCCCTTAACTGACAACTACTACTGGACTCGGCGACAGCCACATTTCAACTGCTTCGTAGGCAGTGTGGTTCACTTATATAGTCGCAGCGCCCGCCTGTTACGCAATCGGTACCGCTGTTGGCTGTTACCCTTTTCACAGCTGCGTTTTGTTTTACGTCGCCGTGGAGGGGGTGAATGGAGCGCTGACTCACCCGCCACGTCACTGCTGGGTAGGGAGGTTTTGTCCTCCATTGCGCAACATGTCACAATACATTTCGGACAGGATGATCCCTGACTCATGAGACAGTCTAGATGCTGTAAAGAATAGATAAACTTCTTGTCCCTACTGGGAACTGAACCCTACCTCCACAGCCATCCAGCCCAGGGCCCATCACTATACTGACTGAATTATCAGTTTCATTAATGGTTTATAAATGGTTTTCTTTCTGTATGCTACAAATCTCTTGTGTAAGAAACACAGCATATCTATCAACAAAAGCTGTAATGTATAATTTGATAATTTGAGTGAGATCTGTGTTTCTCATAGTAGTGAATACGAAGATTACCGTCTTCTGGGATAATAATTTTAACTTTGTGGTACACAGATTACAGATGGAAGATGCTTAATTAAAAACGTTGCTTCCTTCATGCTGAATCTTACACAATTTCTGTACAATTTCCCCGAGATGCACACTTCAAAATATAATCCTATAATTAAATATTCAGTTGTTAAAAACATAATCATCTTTCTCAGAAAATCAAATATGGAAGACTTCATTTGTAATTTTAACAATGAAAACAAGTTCATTCCCTTACTACAGTGGTTCCTAAATTGTGATTCTCAGACCACTTGTACACAAAATGTTTCATGTTCATTGCAAGAAATTAGCAATCACAGCTATTTTGTGCCAATATTCCTCTAACACACCATGTGGGAGTGTTGGGATAGGGCTCATGGCAGGTAACCACACCCATATCTGGCAACAAGTTTTTTATTATCCCTTGCATTTTATTTTCACTTGTCATTCACAGATAGCAGGGAGGTAACCTCTCTGTATCACTTACCATGCTTGTGGCAGTTTACTCTTGATGCATAGTATCTTTGTGTTCCTATATTATAATTTCCAAAAAAAGACAGGTCAGAAAAGCCATACTGCAGATTTAAGTGGTCAAGCCAAGGCCCATTTCATCCTCTGAGCTACACTGGTGTCTGTTCCCTTCAGCAAAGAAATATTTAAATAACAAGGCTTACAGGTTCGGCCACTTTGGGGTGGGCTAGATCAAGTGAATGTCTGGAAAAAGAAAAATATGTAAACACAAAATGAAGAAATTCTTGGAAAAGATAGGAATTCTCATATTATGTCTCAGTTTCATTATCCCTTGATCGCTCTCATACCTTCCTCCAGAGTCCCACATGTCATACTAGCATCTATACACGCAAAAGGTCTTCACTATGATCTGTTGGCATGTGTACGCATGTGTCGATTGAGTTTGGACTTAGTGTAGAATGACTTCTTACACAACTGACACAAATAAGGACGTTCTCCTGTATGTATCCGTTCGTGGATTATAAGATGTTGGTTTTCAATGAATGATTTATTACACTGAGTACACGTAAAACGCTTTTCACCTTTGTGATATCGCATATGTCTTGTAATCTCTGACTTTGTAAAGAAAGACAGGTCACACAGTTCACAAGGAAAGGCCTTATGTCCAGTATGGAGAAGTTCATGCCGTTCAAGACCTGACTTTGTGAAGAACGTCTTTCCACACGAACCACAGGAAAAATCATTAATCCCTGAGTGCCGTTTCTGATGTGTCTTGAGATTTGTGAGTGTTGTAAAAGTCTTCTCGCAAAGTGTACATGCATAAGGCTTCTCCTGTGACAAACAGAATATACATTTTTTGAATATTTGTTTTTGGCTGAACAACAATTGCATGTCTCATATAATGTGTGTCTAAAACAACTTTCAGGGTGAGTCATCATTAGGGAGTGATGTAGATCATTATATCATCATTAGATACTAGATTCTTTTTCACATACAATTGCAAGCAAACTCAACCATACCATAGATCCCATTGAACAGAGAGGACTTCCCTTCCATAAGGTTGCCTACTCAACGTATGCCATATTCTAAAAGTTGTTTTAGACAGACATCACCATTAAGAGGAAGAAAGGGTGATTATAAATAATATTTGAAAGAATATGGGAGGAACCAGTCACCAAGTATCTCACCACTGGCCTTAAACTGAGGGAAATCATGGAACTCTTCTGTCAGTGTGGTCTCTTGTCTGAGACTCAAACCAGTGGCCTCTAATTGATGTGCAGAACCACTAATGCATTGGCAGCTTTCAATCTGATGTTTATGGATGTACATTATGAGCAAATGAAACAAAACTGAATACAGTACACAAGTACACATGCATTCTGTAACTTCACTTCACTAGGCTGCACAAATGGTTACACTGTTTCATTTCGGGACAATTACTGCATGTTACTGGGGGTACATGGCAGCAAAGTTGGTTGAGGCACTATGCTACAAGCCAAAGGTCATGGGCCATCCTATGGCTGGAAGGATTAAGTAAATTGAAAGAAAAAAATCCACCTCATCAGGACTCGAACATGCGACCTTCCGGCTTGTAACATAGTGCTCTGAAGGGAAGGAAATAAAGGCAGAAACAGAAACAGAAAATGGGGATGAAGTAAAATGGACTCAGGAATGTCAGTACGACAAACAAGATCAGCAGGAAAGTAACAAGGAAGAATGGAGGAAAGGATATAAAAATATGAAAGTAACAAAGGAAAGGAGCAGAAGAAATGATTCATGCTTTCATCTCAACTTGTCATGCACTAGCAGAAATATAACAGAAAATACTGGGCACCATCATGAAAGTTTTAGTTGCCATGGCACCTTATATTTGCAGATGCCTATATATATATAACATCAGAGAATGTCTTACCTGTGTATGTACCCTTTCATGATTTGTAAGCTGACTTTTCTGGACAAAAGTTTTGCCACAAGCATTACAAAGAAAAGGTTTGATACCATTATGTCTGTTCTCATGGCTTTTAAGTCCAGAGTAACTGTGGAAAGTCTTATCACAAAGGCTACAAGCATAAGGTCGTACTCCAGAATGATAGCGTCGATGCACATTTAGGTCCTGTTTCCGAGCAAATGACTTGCCACACTCCTCACACAAATACGGTTTTTCTCCTCGATGAATAATTTCATGTTTCTTCAAATTGTCACGCTTTGAAAATGATTTTGAACATATCTTACAAATAAATGGTGGTTTGTCTTCACCAAGAATGTCATCTTCATCCACCACTTCATTCTTAATCACCGACTGTAATGATGGTGTGGGTTGTGGTTGGGATGCAACAGGAATTGGTACAGAGAAATTCTTTTTATTTTTAACCATCCTTCTTAAACGTGTTTTTCTAGTTGCTTTTGATATTGCCCCTCTTCTTCTCTTCTTTTTGTCTTCTCTCCGAGAGGTGTCATTTGCAAATGGCGACTGAAATGCAGCTAACCCATTTCCAAAAGCATCTACATTGCAGAGTATTACAATTTTTTCAGACTGTGATGTACTTGCTTGTTCCCCACGTGGAAGCACATTTCTAAACTTGGCTGATCTGCGAGAATTTCCTGTTTTATCGTGGATATCCTCACCTTGACTATCTTCCTTCATTCCTGCATCACAACTATCAGCATCAGGACTCTCTTCCTTTACACACATATTCTGCTGAGAACAAATTAATACCCTTAAGTACACATATACAGAGGGGCCCCAAAAAATGCATACACACTTCAATGTACAAAATATCTGCTTAAATAATTTAGTGGTATATCTTCAGTTCAACTTTCAAGATGTCTGCAGACAGCCTCTATAACACCATGTAATACAGCTATCTACAGACACTTTTCAAAGGTGATATACCAATAAATTATTTAAGCAGATATTTTGTATATTGAAGTGTATATACATTTTTTGGGGGCCCTCTGCATCTTAAAACAATAAAATGGATGGATGTGGACTGGATTTCTATGGTTCAAAATAGGAGTAATGTTGGCACTTACAAACATAATACTGAACCTTCCTGTTCCATAAAATGCAGGAAATTTCTCGCCTAACTGACCAACTATTAAATTCTCAACAAGGCCTCTGCTCCATGAGATTAGTTACGTATGTACTTGTATATACGATCTTCTGCAGCATTGTTTACACTGTGTTTCCTGCTTCTAAACATGGAAAATATTTTGTACAGTAGAGCATGTATCCACCAAACACAAAACATTGATCCAAGGCTCCTTTACTCAGTTCTGCTACACTCCCTCTACCATGAGACCAAGCGAGCATCATCAATCATCATCAGTTAGTGACATGAGACTGTTACATCATTAGAAAGTTACGGCATTCTATTTTCAACATATAAACTGGCAACCATATTATTAAACAACACAGATGAGCCCAGAAGACTGAAAAGGCATAAGCCAACTGACCTAACGACGCGCCTCTCATAAATGTAATACATACAATAACAAAGCCACACTCGAAATAGATTCTTAGAGAATGCTCACTGGAGCATTACTCTCCCCGACATGTTCTTTCTTAGTATTTAAGTCTTAGATTAAGTATTTCATAAGATGTACTTATAGTCCTTAATATGGACTGATTGTACAAATAAATGGAGATATACAAAAAAAAATTTCAACATACTTCCAGTATTCATACACCAATGGGAAATTCAAACACACCAACACATGTTTTCTCTTCCATAAGGTTGCCTACACAAGGTATAAAGTACCCTGGATCACAGAGTAAATCGACCTTAGATGGATTACTGTAGGTACTGGGTATTTTTTTTTCTTTAGGGCAGCAGAACAGAGTGCAGCATGAACACACCATTATGGCAGATATCAGGTCTCGCTGTATTCCCTTTAGTGATAGCTCAACTTATCTGGTGACTACAATAATGTTGCCAGATTTGGATTATATTTATGATTGTTAGCCTTACTGCAAACCATTCAAAATTACCTAATGCAAATGCACACTGCATTATCAAGACATATCTAATTTGATAATCGTCTGTCTTAAGATTTACACTTAATTCCTTCATAAACATAACAGATATAAACAAGTATTTCCACTGGTAACATCTCTTCTCTTTTTGTGGGTTATTTTATGATATTGTCCATATCCAGACTATACAGTGTGGATATTATTAGCATGACAGTTGAATGACAAATTAGAAAGGATACAAAAGGAAGCAGTCAGAGCCTAACCACAGTACTACTCCGGCATTTGCCTGAAGGGACTGAGGAAAAACAAGAAAGCCCTGAATCAGGATAGCCAGTGTCCTGGCTGAGATCTGAACCAAGCATATCCCAAACATGAGCCCAGTATGCCAAACCACTTGGTGGTGAAACCTTAAAAAAATATAATTCTCACATGAACATGAAACCCATATTTACTTATTACAAGAGAAAAATAACAATACAAATATTACCTCAGTAACACCTTCATCTTCTGAGTTTTCAGGCGATCTCTTACTGTACTGCTTCAATGTGGCATCAGAAGTTTCACACTTCATCTTAAACTTGTACGATCTGTCAACTTCATGGCAGCACTGCTTGCAAATCAATGTTGGCAGGCCATCTCCTTCATATATCTGCAAATTGTTGCAAGTTCCAGTTTGTGTTAAAATAAAATCATGCATGATCCAGTAACTGAATGTTGCAGTGCAGTAGTTAAACCACCTGCTTCATATTCAAAGGTCCTTGGTTCAAATATCAAACAGGAGACTGGTGTTATGACTTCATCTCAAGTACAGAAAGGTACAATATCTTGGCCCTTTATCACCCATGCAGAGAATTATTTCAATGGCACACACATGCAGTCCAGTTAGCCAAACTGAATTTCTTCAATATTGCCGTGTGTTACTAGTGTGACTACAGACGATGTTTGGACTGGTAACTGGATTTACTTAACTCTTTATACAACTCATAACTACACTTTACAAATCATTCTTGGTTGAGGGTTTTGCTTGATCCTGTACACCACATCATTTATCTGCGTGACTACCCTGTATGGGCCCTTCCATGACAGCTGGAGTTCGGATGACTTTCATTCAGTCTGGGTCAGGTAACAGAGCCACACTTGGTCACCCTCCCTGCCAAGCACTCTTAGTGCCCTTTCATTCTGTCACCGTCACCTTGCACCTACATCTTCCTCCAGGTGTTGACCTTGGCCTGTATCTTGTTACAGTCCTGCTTCTGGTTATAGTATATCATCACATGACTCTCACCAGGCCATCGATCATGTTGCTCCGAGACACGAACTTGGCTTTCATTGCCTTGAGATTTTGGGTGCGGGGTGCCAAAGCCACCTGCATCTTACTCATTGGAAATTTCTTCTCACATGTAAACTAGGAAGCCACAATACAATTTTTCCTGGGTATCTTCACCCTGACAGGGGCTCCAGGGATGCTGGATCATCTATCATCTGTTCCATAAGCATCAAAGGCAATCTCTTCATCATAATCTTCAATGCATCAATCTCACTCTTGAGAGTGAGCAGCGGGATTGTCCTCCACCTTTGTAATCATCTTCACTGAATCCACCTCATTCTGGAACTGGACACAACATTCTTCCAACTCTCACATGTGTGTCACCATACCTCTCAACTCCAACATTAAACTTTTACACTTCTGTAACAACATCCTGGGCTGTGATAGTTCCTGTTTTATCTCTTCCTCTTAGTACGGGACCTGTCGAATATGGCAATACTCCATCAAACAAAGGATACTGAAGATGCTGGGAGCCAGGAAGGCTAGAATCATCCAGAAATTCTGCTTGTGTTCTGGTAAGCTCTTCCGCTGTAATGCATACAACAATGCATATTCCATTTCATTTGTTGTGGTGGGGGTTTCTATTGGAGATTTTTCAGAGGCTGGGATTGACTCGAAGGCTCAGGTCGGTCCAGGTGCTGGAATTATCCTGCTTTGCTAAGTGCCATAAAAATGAGCATGATGTGATCATGACAGTATTTCCAATATTTTCCTGTTTCCCATTCTTCTTGCCTTGAAACTAAATAGATCAGTTCTCTCCTGCTTCTCCAAAAGGACTTCTGATACCAATTGTCATGTGTTAGTGACTACACAGTTCCTGAACTGACTAAATGGTTTCAAACTGCTGAACTCACAAAAGTCAAAGTCAAAGTCAATATCAGAGTTACTTTAAGAGTGGCGGTTTACCAACAGTCCGCTTGTTTTGGTGTCAAGCCCCTTGAGACCCATAACCACAGATTTTTTTCCCCCAACTAAACCCTTACGGCATTAGTCTTTATGTAACATCCCCTCTGACAAGAAGCTGGGTTTGTCTGTTATATACTTGGCCTTTCGTCAAGTGTACATTTCGCACATATTGCCATGTTATTGAAAAATTCTTGCTTTTGCACTATGTACAAGTCCTAGTGTCTAGTGGCTAGTCACTTGAATGGGTGAAAGCTTGACCACTGCCAAGTTTAAGCCTCTTATATTGTCTACGCCTGGCTTTACCTTGTCCTATACCATGAACATGTTCATTCTCATGATTCTGTATGACTTCTGCTTGTTTCCTGCATAATTTTGTTACATGATCGTATACATATGGAAGGTTAAAAGCCATGTGTAAATTGCACACCGGTGTTCTGCTTGGAAATTTTCCAGTGGTGTGGAGAACCTTGTTCTGCAGGCACAATAGACTCCTCATGTAGCCTCAGCACGGACTGCCTGGTAAACACCTCTTCAAACAGTTCTTCCATTGCTGCATCACCCAGTGGTTGCACGAACCGCACAGAGAACACAGCTTCCCACTTACTACATTGCTGCATGTTATGAGAATCTGTTGCAGCCATTATCTAGCAACGGCTATTGTACAGCTGCTTATTTCATGGTTGTTGCACACCAACAGGTCTACATGCCACAATATTAGTACCATTATCCCCAAGTTATAATATGATCATCAGCCCTGTGTACTGGATGATTTAAAATCACAGACAATATACTGTTACCCTCAAGCTGAAATCTGGCAGCCAGCCTTACAGCACTCACGGATTTAAAATTTATTTCCAGATGAGAAAGGGTATGTACACACCACCTCCTAACAAGCCAATCATGTTATCACTGGGGGGAGACTGTTCTGGCCAGCACAGATATTACCAGGAAGTAAATCCAAAGTATGTATGTCACAAAATACAACCTAACACCACCAGAATATATAGCAAAATCCACAGATCCAGAAATAGCCTTAATCCTAACAAAAGACCTTCCTGTCAGACACCAATTACTATTGCTGTTGCCACTGCTGTCTACCAATGTATCAGAATAGCTTTCAATGAAAAGGCATAAAAGAAATTAAACTACAGCTACTTTTTGGCTCCCAATTAACTGACTTACCAAGACAGTGGAAATGCAAATTTTGAGCTAACAAGAACAGTAATAACACTGCCTTTAACAGTTTTCTCCATACATTCTAGTGGTTTCAAATACTGCACATCACTTGCAGAATAGTAATGTTCAAAATCCTTATCCTCTGTTGCAAATGGTACGTGTAGTCTTTCTCGAAGTACAGTCAGGAATCTACCATTCACAGACTAACAAGAAATCATTATAAGAAATCACACTAGCATTCATCACTACATAGAACAGCTAATCACACCTTTACATAAACTATAAATAAAACAAGTATGGAGTTAATAATCTTCGCTATAAACGAAGTCGGCAGGCTTCGCGTTACCCTGACTTCGATAATATGACAGGGTAAATATTTCTAATGTTTGGGCAAATTATTAAATACCGAAAAGAAAACATGCACATTAAATTTTATTAAGAACAAAACTGGCAATTTTAGAGATATATCATGACCAGTACTCTTCCAGTAATCATCAGCACAAAAACTCCCAGTGTACCAGAAACTATGCATACACAATTTCATACATACTAACCTCAAAAGATACGAATGACATAATCCGTTTTGGAAGAGGTACTGCAAAAATAGAGGACATATCGCCTTCTTTTAGTAAGCAAAGGCGACATATTTCATTGAAATTTAGTTTCATGTTGTGGTTATTCATTTTACGATAATATAACAATAACTGTACAAAATTAAATGGAATAACAATGTTCGTAAATAATATGATACTAATTCTACAACCAAACACATCCACCTACGACCACGGATCCTACAACCATCTCCTTGTAATTAGGCACGCGGTCTTTTTCATTGGCCCGATAGATTAGCTAGTTGTGAAATCATGGCTTACTTAAATTAATAGCACAGAAAACGCACAGGGGAACATACAACATCGCGCGCCAATATTTGAATCATATAAATGTTGTTAATATGATCCGTTGTAATTTGTTACATCTTTCTTACCGCAATTCAATTACAGTACAAATTAGTTATGCCGAAATCAATATCGTACACAGTATTGTACCCACAGATCACTAAATGGCTGTACCTGTTTGGAATGATAACTGTTGGTCCCAGACTTTTATGTCGACATGAAAAATACACCTCTCCCACGTCATCATACTTCAATAAAATCAAAATAAGCTGATTTCTTCCATACGGTAAATCCTGTAATAATCAAAGCGTTCAGATCTGTAGTCATAGCTGATGACTCATTTACTTGTGTAGTGTATTCCACCATGATTTTTGTAAAATATAATATTGTGGGCCATTACTTATGATATTTCTGTACTTATACTCACTTGGTAATTTTTTCATATAAGGATAGATATGTGTGCTCTGATCAGCAAATATAACTTACACTAGCAAATACTCTGGTTTGACTTGTAGTGAGCCATTACACTAGAATAGGAGCAGTAAGAGAAGACGTTTTCTCTCTTCAGTAAATACCCTAATGGTTTTCTTCAAATCAAATGTATTCATTGTTACCTTCACATTTAAATTCGTGAATAACAATATTATCTTGAAATTAATCATGGTCATCTTTGGCTTCAATTTCATTAAGACAAGATATATTAAAGATTAAAAAGTTCACATTTAAAATTATGTTTTCATGGCACCAAAAATATAAGTAATGGTCTTCTGGGTTGTGATTTCTACCCTGCAAAATGTCAGTAACTGTCCACCAGACTACTGCCATCAATCTGACTGACCACAATTTTAAAAAGTTCACAGTTGTCATCTGTTCATGCAGAGGAGGGTATAGAAAACTTGATCAAAATTACAGTTCTTTTGTCTTTCCCATAGAAACTCTTCTGACACACTAGATATTTGCACCAGCAATTAGTAACTTCCAGAATAAAGCGTTTTGTAGGTAACTGAGCTACAAAATTTGTTCTGAATAATGACAATGACGGCCACCTTCTTCTTCTTCTTCTTCTTCTCCTGCTCCTCTGCTGGCGCCACAACCCTAAGTGGGTCTTGGTTTCCTCTACAGACTCAGAAGTTTCCGTAACAGTACATTTTTTGGGGGTTGGGTTGTTAGCCCCATGCCCAATCCTCAACCTGAGAGACTGAGAACTACACTTCATCTGGCCCCTACACTTTGACCTGCCTGGCATCAGTGGCTCTACAAGGAGCTCATGCTCCCAACAGCATAGCCCTCTGGGTCACTGGGTCACACAAAAGTCCTCTCCACAATAAGGCAGTAGTCCTCAAGGGTGACTGAGAGATATAAATTTCTCTTAAACCCTACTTAAACTTTGATGTGTATTCCATCAGACTAGTTCATCTTGTATACAGCTTTTCGTGAAATCTGTAAAACTAAAAATATTATAACTACGAAGAAAGCAGTCTTCTGGGATATGGCGTCATGTAGATGTTGTGTTGACCGATGTTTCGGAGGAACGTATTGTCTCAATCTTCAGGGAAGAAGAAAAAAGAAGAAACAGTTCTGGGATATGGTGCCATGTAGATGTTGTTAAAAGATGTTTCGTAGGAACGTATCGCCTCCATCTTCAGGGTAGAAGAAAATCCACAAGTGAAGAACCAACATGAGCAGGTGCAGGATTTTTTTTCTCCTACACTGAATATGGAGCTGATACGTTCCTCCGAAACGTCGGTTAACACAACATCTAAACGGTGCCATATCCCAGAAGACTGCTTTCTTCACAGTCACCGCTGTGAAAACCTCAAATCTTACATATTATAACTGTTTACAACATGTATTTCCATGTGACTAGTTTCGGAGGAACGTATTGTCTCAATCTTCAGGGTAGAAGAAAAAAGAAGAAACAGTTCTGGGATATGGTGCCATGTAGATGTTGTTAAAAGATGTTTCGTAGGAACGTATCGCCTCCATCTTCAGGGTAGAAGAAAATCCACAAGTGAAGAACCAACATGAGCAGGTGCAGGATTTTTTTTCTCCTACACTGAATATGGAGCTGATACGTTCCTCCGAAACGTCGGTTAACACAACATCTAAACGGTGCCATATCCCAGAAGACTGCTTTCTTCACAGTCACCGCTGTGAAAACCTCAAATCTTACATATTATAACTGTTTACAACATGTATTTCCATGTGACTACAGAACTTTCTGATATGTAGTCTATGCTGGCCATCTGTGGTTCCACTGAAAGGCAACTTACAGAAAGCAGTGCAAGAATTACCCGGTATGTCTAATCTTCACTACTGCCTTGTGTTACTTTTGCAATGTTTCCTGTGGCCTGCAGTCCCCTTCATATTGATCTCTTGCTTGGCATACTCTTCAACCCTGAATATAAAAGTGACATATTCCCCTAAATTGTTAATTAACTTTCAAGAGACTGCACAGTGCAATATTCAGAAAGACAGAATTCTTCATAACCACACCTCTGAGAACCTCAAATCCTGCATGTGGTATTTTTAGTTCTGAACTTGCATGATTACTGCAGTGATGTGACCTCTACCAAACATACTGGAAACCAAATACCAGACTCCATGTTGTCACAACCCAGAAGACTACAGTATGAATCTTCACCACCATCAAAATCTCATATCTTAATGCAAAACTACATGGCATCTTATCCCTACAGCTATAAATCTTGTTACTCAAATCTCAAACTATTCTACAAATCAGCAATTTCTTTGATCAAATATATGGACATATTAAGATGGTGGTGTATAAGCTCTTTAAGGCTGAAGACTGAACCACAGGTCTTGGTAAAAGCTGCATCATTTTTAGCACTCGAAAATGCAACTAACAAAAATCTAAACTAATCCCTTCACAGTGTCTGTATACAGATTTGGGGTGTGACTTTGGCTTTCAAGGTTAAGCCATGTCAATGTTCAAGCTGTATCAATGTTCTTGTGTGCCCTGTACATGCTATCACCCCAAAAGTCAAAGTTACACATTAGTCATGTGCCGCAAAACCCTCAAGTCACTGAATATGTGTTTGAAAATTGTTGAGATATGAACATAAGAAAGAGGAATTAACAGGACAATTGAGAAAATTACATGAGCTTGATAATTTATGCTTTGAGTGATATTAGTGACGTAGGTAGAGTGACAGACTATGGGCTGGATGACAAAGGAATTAGGGTTCAATTCCCAGAAGAGAGATTTTTTTCATCTCTACAGCATTCACACCAGCTACTGAGCCCACCCAGCCTCCTACAAAATGAGCACCACAAATACGATTTACTTGGGGGTTAAGCGGCTGGAGCAAGAAGCTGACTACCAAATTCCATCTCATGAAGAGGTCAAGAATGGTGGATGTACACCGCCATTCACCCCATACATCATGGTGGGGTGCTTAATTAATTGCAGGGACAACTTTACCTTTTATGTACTTCTACCTAACATTACATCAGGAGAGCAAGTGAGACAGGACATCCAAGATGCATGGAAACAGCATTTCAAATGGAGTTTATGGAAAAGATCACTTTGAAGATGAGGCTTAGATGGGAAAATTATGTTAAAAAACCGGTATAAACAGGTGAGGTGGCCAAACTAGCTTATAACAGGTCCAATTGAAGATTTCTGTGAACACGATAATGAACCTCCAGATTCTATACAGGTGAAAAATTTTCTGATCAGCTGAGTGACTGACTTTTCAAAAACAATCCTTTACCATGAGTTTACAGAAAGAATGAAGATTAAAACATATATTTATTTTTTCTACTGAAGAATCCAAATTAAGATTAACCTCCAGCCATTTGCAAGCTTTACATTTTTCCTAGTGCAACACACATTTATTACACAAATATAAAGCAGTGTATGAAGAGTAACTTAAAATGTGCTGAGTAAAACATGAATCTTGTACGTGAAAGCCTCTTGATGCATGGGTGGGCACAATTGTGTAAATGAACTATGGAGGACTATAAAAAGCACACTAGTGGGGAAGCAAAACAGCTAGAAGAAGAGGAGGAGGGACTAAATCAATGGGAAATACTTCCATGACCTCAGAACAATAATGGCTTCTAAAATGAGCCACAATGCATTGACTCTGCCCTGCCTATGGGATGGAGCAACTATATTATGAAGGAATTAAAACTGATTAAACCAAGCAGAGAACAAATCTTTTTTAAATGAGAAAAACTATCATGCTGAGGAGTGCTACTGAACTGCCATCTTCCCTCTGTGACATCAGTGAAGTCCTGAATATTACTACAGAAAAGATTTAGATTTAATTACTTTATCAGACTCTAGACATGCATGGTGAGGAAGCTAACAGCAACTACAGAGAAAGCAGTGAATGTTTTTGCACAGATGGTAGTCACTGATGCATTCTATAAACCTGCCATAAGGATTTCGGGCTTTCTGCATTCCTCGTAAATCTCAAGGTTAGTCTCTCATACAGTACTTAGTAATGGACCACTGAGGTCTAAGCGCAAGGGCCGAGAAGGCCTACCCCTTCATACATACATACATACAGTACTTAGTAATTTGGAATAATGAGTACCCAAAAGGTAAACACAGTTTTGTAGGTACGTATCCATTTCCCAGAGCAAGGTATTGTTTCCATATTCAGCCTCAATCAATAAGACAGACATGGTACAGTCCATCAGTGCATTACTTCAATGTGGAAGAACAAGGTTTGCAAGAAAGCAGCTTGCTTGGATTACTCTTTGACCTTGAAGATGGGAGCAGTATTTTCCTCTGAAATGTCAGTGAACTTCTACCACACTAGATAACATCATATTCAAAAACACAGTATTATTCAGAAATTTACTTGTTTTAGAAGACTAATCTTCATACAGTTTTGAAGTTTCTATGGCTAAACAAACAATCCATGTCATAAGAATGAATTCCAACAAGAGGAAACAAATGTAAACTAAAGAAAAGAGCTGACTACTGACAACTGCTCTAAATTGTGCATCATAAAAATAGCAGATGCCAAGTCACTGAGGGAGGTGTGAAATGGGTGTATGCAGAGATATGCAGTCTGAAAATTATCAAAATATTTAACATAAGACTGTGTTACAATAGTGTATAAAGCAAAGAAGGTACCATTCCTATGCTTGACTATTAAAAGCACACTTCATTATACCTATTTGCAAATACAATTACTTAATTCTTACTGGGTTGGATTTGGAATGAAGGGATTTCTCCCACTCTTTTCTATACATCAAATATAACTTCATTGCTGTTCTTGCATCTACTACTGAATCATGTTCACCTTGCTGTATTTTAACACCCAGCACTGCTTCCGCTAGTTTCCGCAGACTTGGTGTGCGACCATTGCTGAACTTATGGAAGGGTTTATATTTAGAAGTGTCCCGAATTGCTCTTCTTGGATGACTAAGGAACAAAACTTTAAGGTCATTTCTTAATGCATGACCAACCAAAATTCGACCTTGCATTATTTCTGCTACTTCTTTCTGAACAGTCTCAAAGCTTTCTCCATTATGCAAATCCTTTGGTCGAACACCACTAACTGGTGTTCTATAATCCACAACTGGCTCTGATGGCAACACATACTTATCATATATACAATTTCCGTGTTTATTTACTAATGACACCCTTGCCAGCATATTGTCCTTTCCGGTATCAATGCCTACCATTTCACAGTCTATAGCAATAACTTTAGTTTTTTCCTTACTCGAACCCGTTATCGCCCTTCTCATACGTCTAGGAGCTGAACAGGTAGATGTTTCGTTAGTATTTTCCGGCGATATTTTTTGACGAAATCCATGATAAGTGTTTTTATTTTCCGTTCTTGGGGCACCGTCTTTCTCCAAATGTAAAAGATGCTGCTTGAAAGTCTCCCAGTTGCTTGAAATGCCATCTTTGCTGACGATACTTGCAAAATTATTTCCCTCGTTTTCTTTCACACTCTTAGCTCTCTTCACTTTACCCCCAACTACAACTTGTTTCTTGGACTGCTTGCGTGTGCCTGTTTGAACTGAATCAACGGGCTGCTGCTCGTTTATACCGTCTTTGCTGACGATACTTGCAAAATCATTTCCCTCATTTTCTTTTACACTCCTAGCTCTCTTTATTTTACTTCCAACATCTTGTTTCTTGGACTGCTGCTGCTTCTTATCACATTTGCGCAAGTGTCCGTTTCCATTAGGCATTATTACCTACTAATACAACAAATTAACATACCCACAACAAACATTACACACGAAACCTGCCATTTCCACGCACACGGTTCACCACTACCAACGATGCCAATTAAAAATATGTGCGTTCTGATATATCACAGGGTACAAATCACGGAGTCCAAAGCGGTCCAAGGTACAATCATCTTTGATCGCCTGCAATTTTGGCTGAACTGTACTTCAGGGCACGTTAATTACATCAAACAAATTGCGAAAACAAAAATGGTAAAACTAAAGGAAAAGTTATCTTTGCTTAATTAAGCACCACGTTGTGAACAAGCATGGCAAAGTAAAGTTATAGCTTTATCATCCTTAGCATCGGCCTTAGTTGGAGGCAGAGCTTCACGCTCCGACCACTTTACCCCAGCAGCATCCATCAAAACAGATGGCTGCGCTGAGCCTGAGGCTGTTCTTGACGATAAGTAGAAAAAAATCTCTTGTTGGTGGTGAAAATCGGACCCACAGTTATCCATCCCATAGCCCATTTCTAACGAATATGGAATACTCAGACTTTCCCATTAAACTTTCTGATAAAGTCTACATGGCGTTGCACGGTTTGGTTTTAAAAGGAACTTTTATAAACAGACATAAATATGCTTCAACTACTTTGCAGTTGAAAATTTATGCAATGTGGAATATGCTAGCTGCAACAGGATAGTAGCCAAAACCACTATTGTCTCCTCTTTGGATTTTTCACAGAAATGTTCTCTGAATTTCTTGCCTTCCCCATGAATACTTCACGTACAATTAACTTTATCAGTGAAATATTTGGTTTAAAAAGCAAATTAATACAATTTATAGATCCAATAATTTTTGGCATGTAAAAAAAAAAAGTAAAGCTATCCCTGTACCAGGCCGTGAAGGCCCATAGGGCTGTGAAACGTTGAGGGTCCCACACTATCCACACAATCGGCTCAAAGATGGCGGTAAGGTTGTCAGTCTTACGCACCGTCCGCGCTTTACTCCCCACGAATATTATTTAATTAATTCCTGGTACTCATTTCAGTTAGAGGCTGAGTAAACCACCGGGCCTATTGTGGCTGGAAGGATTAGGTCAACTGAAAAAATCCAATGACCTCATCAGGACTTGAACCTGTGACCTTCTGGCTTGTAGCATAGCCCCTCAACCAACTATGCTACCGCGTGTAATTTTTGGCATGTAAAAAAAAGTTGTGCAAAATTTCACCCACTAGCTTTACTATGTATTATTTGTATTCAAGAACCTGAGAACCGCTGATAAGATTTCATTAATATGATACTGGACACTTCTATCAAAATCTGTTGGCAACTTTCAGTTTTAACTTAAACTATGAAAACAGACATTACAATGACAACTACATGTCACCATATATCTCACACATAACATATTAAGTATAAGTGACAAACGTTCCAAACAAGAGCTACAGGGAAAAAAATTATGCATGTTTTATGTCCATGAAAGTTGAGTAATGCACCAATAATTGCCATACCATGCTTAAACTTAGTAGATAGAGGCAATGTTTTCCACCAAATCATCAGGCTTCCTCTGAACCACACGGCATTATGATCAAAATGACCATACTCTTCACCTACCTGAATGAATGAATGTATAAGGGGTGGGCCTTCATGGCCCTTGCACCACGCCCACAGTGATCTATTGTGCCTCCCCTTCTAATTATCCCCTCAACAATCCTGCACATCGAATGAAGCGTAGGATTTTGTATGTGGGGATGTCGAAATAGTCACTTGGTTCCATGAAATACTGACCCAAGTGACACAATCTTAAATAAGCTAAGGCCTCACATTCGCACAGGATATGTGTGGCTGTTCCATTTTATTCTTGACACCTCTCACAAGTTGGACTATTACTTAGTCCCAGTTTGAAGAGGTTCCTTTGAGGTGACAGTGTCCTGCAAGTAGTCCTACCAGCCATCATAGCTGGTTCCTGTTTAACTTCAACAGTTCCTTCACTCTTTTAGTAGAGGGTCTTTGTATGAGTCCCTTTGCTTGCCTGATTCCAGTCAAGGATCCCCACTATTTCTTTTGATTCATATTTGTCCAGTCCGATTGTCTTTCTGGCGACTCCTACAGAGATGCCACAGGCTGGTTCAGGTCCTATGAACAGATGTTCAGCTCCAATCTTGGCCAATTGGTCTGCTATTTCATTTCCAGCAATACCCTCATGCCCCGGGACCCATATCAGTTGTACCGTTATGTTTGGCCAGTTCCATGAGGGTTTGGTGGCAATCCCAGACCAATTTTGAGTTGATCTGGTGTCTGTTAAGCACTTTAAGTGCAGCCTGGCTGTCAGATAGAATGCATATGTTCCTACCTAAATTCTCCATAATACATGCTTTAATGGCATATACTGCTGCCTGGAATACTGTCGTGTACTGCCTGAGGCTGAAACTAAGTTTCCGCCTTGTGCCATAGCAGAACACACCAGCTCCAGTGCCCTTATTTATCTTGGAACCATATGCATACCAGACAAATCCCCCTTTTCTATTGGGCCGAAAACCGTCTCTTCACCTACTTACTTGTCGGGTACTATGCAGTACTATTTGCATCTGGTATATATTTGTTGGACTGATAACAAGGCACTAAATTACAATTTATGTATTCAGTTTCTTTGTGCATCACCTAAAAAAAATCTGAAGATTCTTTATTCCAGAGGTTTCATCAATGTGCAAATTAAATGTCACCAAAATAACATGGTCCGGTCCTCCAGGTTGGAGGCTGGGCCCAATCAAATGGCACACAGTCAAACTATTTTGAGGGAAATGAATACAGCTATAGATTAAGATGAAGATGAGATTCTATTACGGTACATTTTTGATAAGTTGGTTCTGAGGACATGAAAGGGACTGAATTAGCAACCTAGGCAAATTAAAAAATTTTATTTCTGAGATTTTCTTTGATCCTACATTTTGTCATGAAGGTATCCATGTACTTAGAAGATTGACATCAGTAGGACAACTTCTCACAGTAGAAGTTATATTCTCTATGGTTTCTACATGAAATAAGTGCTGTGGTTAATGTAAATGGATGAGCAAAATTCCTTGATTTGGCAGTACCAATCTTAAGTAAACTGCATTAGCAGAAAGTGTGACAAAACTTAGCTAACTATTGGTGAAAAGTAGAAGCATGCAGAAGATAATTGAAGTTAGTAACAGCCAAAGTACACACCAACTTCATGCGAGTCTTAGACTCTTAGTAGATAAAACTGAATATGCATACATGAAAATTTTCACAATTACTTACTTACTCACTCACTCACTCACTCACAGAGCTGAGCCCTTCTTGAGGAGCCGCCAATTCTGCAGCTACTCAAGAATTTTGCAGCATTTTATGGAACCCAAAGGTTCATCACCGTGTTCACAAGAGCCCTCCACTGGTCCCTATCCTGAGCCAGATTTATCCAATCCATACCATCCCATCCTATCTCGCTAAGATCCATTCTAATATTGTCCACCCACCTACGCCTTGGTCTTCCCTGTGGTCTCTTTCCTTCTGGCTTTCCCACAAATATCCTATACGCATTCGTCTCCCCCATTCGTGCTACATGACCTGCCCACCTCATCTTTGTGTTCATTTTCGTAACATACCGATTTTTTACGGTGAGGAGTTGTTAGCCCCAAGCCCAACCCCCAAGCTGGAGGGCCACCCCTTGTCAGCTGCCCATGACTGCTTATTCAATATATTCACAGCTTCCCTCCAAAACTGGAGGGCGTCTCCTCCATCCGCAACCTGAGGACGCGCCATGCCGTGGTGACAGGGACCCACCTAACATGGAATTATCACACACACACATAAAAAATTTCCCCATGCACATTTAAAGAAAATTCACTAAACTATGACAGCTATTTGAAACTGACAACCTACAAAATCAAATTACACAACATAGTGTACAATAAAACATTATAAATACATAATTGTTAATACTAACTTTATTCATATGCACAAAAAACCAGGAAAATCCCTTCTGGTTTCACAGAATAGTTTATTTCACACTAAATTAACACAAACATTCATACACAGCAATGTATATTTAATGTTGGATGATAATATACAAAAAATACAATTTGTAGAGGGATGGCTACTAAAACATCATAACATAAACTGAGAAAATTATTTTAACAGATTGCTTTATTCTTTAACCTTTGTTGCAGAATAGGGGATCTTAATTCCTCTGGTACAAAGGGGCTGTTTGCGCAATGAAAAAAATGCAATTCATTCCAAACAGAACCACATACAAACACCATCATCATATTAATGCAACATGTGGCCAACAATTATCACATGAAAAGCCAAGCTAACTTCCAAATGAATTGGTTACTTTCTAAGGATTCTAAATAAATATGCATCATTACTAGGATCAGTCTGTATTTATTCTTCTGTACAATCAACGGAGCCAAGATAGTACAGTCGGTATAGCAACTGGTTACAGCCTTGATGAAAATGGCATTGCAGTGAATTTTCTCCAAGTTGTCCAGACCAGTCCTGGGGCCCACTCAGCCTCCTATCCAGTGGATACTGGGAGCTCTTTCCCTACCGGTAAAGTGGCCGGGATGTAAAGCTGACCACTAACCTCCAACTAGTGTTGATCTATACATCCACTCCCCCATACACCTTCATGGTGTAGTGCTTAGTTAAGCACAGGGACAACTCTACCTTAAACTCAACTTCTGTACACACACTCCACTGGCACAAAGTCATTAAATTGTTACCTTGAAAGAAAGTGCAGTGGATTTGTACAGCTTCCTCTTGCTTCACATTCTAAACATGTGCAAGTTCAACACAACACTGGAAGGACTGAAGGGTGCAAATACTGAAGTGACATCACTATACAGGATCACTCTATCCTATAACACCATGACAGTAATGGATGGCTTGATGGAATCAGGGGACACAAGACAGAGAAACGATAAGCTTCAAGGTGATCTTCTGAGCCCACTGCCCCCCACACATGCAACTGAGGGTCATGATGGAGACATCACTCTATGTGTGTACACTGGAGACATGGTCATAGGTGTAAATATCAGAAGATTTACTGAGGATTATGTCAAGCTCAGGAAACAAACAACAATTCATAATTCAACAAAGAATGATCCCAATGTGTTCTAGAAAAGGGTGAAGGTTCTGAATGAAAATGGTCTGGCATACATAGATGCACAAATCCCTGTGTTCCTCTGCTGCAAAGAATGTAATTAAATTTAAAATCCTTATTTATATTTGAATATACATGATAGAGTTATTGGAATGTGGTTTTATGGCATCATATTACAAGGTATTCACATACACTTATGCAGATCCACATCGGCTCTCAAATTAGTTGCCGCTGGCCACTATGCAAGTCTGCCAACGTTGGTATAGCTGCAAAAACACTGCTGAAACATATTGGCAGTAAATTCCAGTACGACGCTTTGAGGCCATTCCATGAACTTACTGACTGTGGTGGTGTATTTTACATTGATATTGCAATCATCACTCCAATCACGTTAACTCACAATCACGTTAACTCACAATCTTCTCAGGCATCATGGTCCTCCATGATACAAAACTACTTTTTGGGGNGGGGGGGGGGGAAGTAGTGTTGCACAGCAAATACAGTCCCAAATATTTGTTTAAAATGACAGGCAAAGACAGCACTTGTCACAGATAAGCAAACAGGAAAATTAATTTATTCAGTCTTGGTTGTCAAACCCCCCCCACACACACGACACTACATTAGAAGATCTGCCTTAATCAGTGTGTTGAATCATAGTTCTGAAGCAAAACAACACGGGATGGCATGACTCTCTCTCGGCATAACGGGCATATCTGTTGCATTTGAACCCACTCCATGATGCAGTTCCAACAGAAAAGATGGCCACAGGGTGTTACTGACGTATTTTTCCTAGTCTCTAAGCACAGGGTACATTGCAATCTTGTACCAGCTGTTACAGGCACTTTCAATTCAACATCTCTTAAAGTCAATACGTCTGCTGAAGCATGTCCTAATTTCAACCGTGAAACACAAGTATGGACGGCAAGCAGCAGGAGGTATAACAAAGAAATTACTCCCAAAATCTTAAAGCCACTGTGTGATACTTCAGCCTTCAACCACTGCCGTACTAAGATATAATTAATTCCACTGAGTCTTTTGGCAATGTGATAATAGTTGCCGTTGAGATAGAAAATTCCTTTATGCAATCTATGAAGATACGGAATCAAATGTTTTATGATACGAACATATGAAAGCAGCTTTGACTGAGCTTCAGGTCGCAGTTGTGTGACACTCGATGGTAATTTAAGGTGCTCCTCTAACCTAGTGAGGAGATCACGGAAAAGGACTTCACCTCCACAGTTAATGATAACCATAAAAATTCTCAGAAACTTGTCTGGCACATTCTTATTTGCTTTACTGATCTGAATCATCCCTGTATATTCCTCACCTAATGTCTGGTAGCCAGGTACAGTTGTGAATCCATAATACAAAAAACTTGCAAGTGTTTCCCTCAAATTTCGGGATTTAAGCCATCTCCTATTTCCAAAAAACATATGCACTACATCAAATACAAGATCACTTAGTCTGTCTGTAACTTGTTCATCTTTCTGAGCTGCACGAAGAATTTCTGCTTGGCCTGCTCTAGTGAAGTTCTTTATTGAAGCCATGATGGAACAAGAAATTCTCTTTAGAGCTATGAAAGCATTTCAAATGTTTCGTCACACTGAAGTGGGGTTCAGAAGCATGTCCCCTGGAACAAACATGACTTATGAAAATGATTACAAGAAGTTTTTATATCATCATTCTTTTTATTCCACGAATGAATATTATCAACATAACTGGCCATAAGTGTGCAAATTTGTAATGTATTTAATTCAGTTAATATAGGTGATTTAAATAAAACTGAATTAACTCAAGTTTTAGAGTAAGTATTTTAAATTATGTTTATTAATTAAAATCCTATTAAATGTTTTACTTTATATTATTATTTATGTTAATCGATTAATGTAAGTGATTTTGATTATGTGACTCATGTAATTTTGTATATGTATTTTGATATATCTATTTTCAAAGGGGCCATTTCCGCATCCTAGGTTTGTTACCTGTATGGACATATGGAAAATAAAGGAAATGAACGAATGAAAGAAGACAGGCAACACCGATGTCAATAGGGCAGGCCTTGGTTCTATGAAAGTCCTCTCTCTGTCTGTTCAGTCTCATGAAAGACTTCAAAGCCATAAGTAGGGCCCGGATCTTTATGCGCTAAAAAGCGGGAAAATATGCACCAAAAATAAAACAATATGCACTTAAGAAGCAGGTCACTTTATTCAGACTCGCCTATTTACATGTATCATTCACACATTCACACATGCTACATTCACATGTAGCATCACAAGAGGCAACTAGAAGTCTTTCAGTGTTTTCTGGAGACAAACTGTGTCTATTGTCTGTCAAAATGAGTTTATAGGCTGAGAATGATCTTTCTACTTCAACTGACGAGATTGGACAGTATTTATACACTGGCACCGAAGGTTCGGAACATTCATCTGGAAAAGATACCCTAATTCCACTTAAGTACTGACTAATTGACTGAATCTTTTTTAGTCCTGGGTTCGATTTCAACACCTTTTCTAACCTGAATTTATCTTCTCTCCAATTTCGCCTGGAGCGGAATTCACTGAAAAAGTTGCTTTCTGAACAAGTTGAAGTGAGTTGTGAAGGAGTCCACCACAAGATTCTAAGCTCTCAATAGCTTTTGAAACTGCCGAAACTGTAGAAAATTGTGCATGGATAAAATTCACATTTTCATAAACAGTATCACATCCAAACACCACTTTTGCTTCACAGACACAGGCATACTCATCTTAAAGTTTTGCAACCACTTCTTTTACTCGATTAAAATTCTCCAGATGAAATGAAACTGTGGATAACCATGTCCCCCACCTAGTTAGGACAGGTTCAGGTGGCAGAGGAACCGGAGGTAGGCAATCTTTGTAGAACTGGACATGAGCTGGTGCTTTCGGAAACAGTTTTTTGCCACTTGCAATTAAATCGTTAACAGCTGGAAACTGTGGGTGTATTTTTCTGCAATATGGTGTAATCCTTGCACTAAACAGGTTATGTGTATAAGATTTGGATAAAATACTTGTAAGGCCTTTGCTGCTTTAAACATATAGGAAGTTCCATCTGTGAGTAACACAAGCATCTTACAACAATTATTCTCAACTTCAGATGACCACAGTAGTCGCAGAGAATCATTTACAGATCTTGCTATTGTGCTATGGTTGGTTTTCTCTAGTACTTTGCAAGGAAGAAGATGAGGTTTGCTGGGTTTGTCTGGGCGTAGCTTACCAACTACGAAATTTGCTATGTATCTGCCACATAAATCGGTTGTCTCATCCATCGATATCCAGACACAGTTCCCTCTGATGTCAGAAAGTACACAATATTTCTCCAGAAATGATCGCAGAACTGGATTTCTTAATTTATTCCATGGAATGTTGCTGCATACTAAAAGCCTTACAAAGATCGGCTGAAAATGTATTAACAGAGGACCTGGGTTTGACTTTTGTAAGAAGTAGTTGTTGTGGTGTGCTGTTCTTCTTCCCCTTCTTTGCGGTAATATGTGCAGTCGTTCTTGAGTGCTGTTCAAGTTGAAATTTCTTTTTACATTTTACTTCCTTTGCGCACACTTGACAGTACACGATGACACCGTCTGTTGAATAGTCACTATTACTCGACACCCACTGAATTTCTAATATCTACTGCTGCAATTTTCTTTGGGCATTTTTAGTACATGAACACTTTCTTTGAAGCAGACTATTAAAGTAAAGAGTAACACATTAACTGAAGAGACTTCTCTCAAGACCAACCCTCTGATGCTGCTGTCTGCTGTGGTGGTTAAAGAAATGCAGGAAAATCCCACCCCTTCCCTTTCGAAAGAGCCAAGCTACCTGCTTGTATTGTAAGTGGTAAAAGTACCGTTATTCATAGAGTTGAGAATAGCAACTGGCAAGTGATGTCCAAAACACAGGAAAAACCGAATTTGTTAGAGAATATTGAAATTATCCTTAATGTCAAACATATATGCAGAAATATGCTCTCACGTTTAGAATATGCAATAACGATCAAAACCCTCAAAATATGCATTTGCATATGCGCATATGCATTTTCAAAAAATCCGGGCCCTAGTCATAAGAGCACAAATTCACGACTGTGGCAGATATACGATTAATGGAAATCTTTCAATATGCTTATACAGCCCCATAAATAACTTCAGATTATTGACTAATTTACTGTGTAATTATTAGATATATAAATATATTCTATACAAAGTACATTCATAAATGAATTCATGCCTAATCAGAAACTCCTCAGCGTCTCTCCACTCATGCATGATGGGCAGCACTAACCATTTCATAAATAATACTGAACAAAACAATCACATCAAAATCTTGCAACCATTTGGATCTAATGGAAGATCAGCAAAGCTGCCTGTAAACATAACGGTGAAATCCTTTTTCTGGTTTAGTGTTACATGCACCACACATTTAAACGTAACTCTAATCCAAAACACTATCTGACTATGGTGACTTGGAACATTTGCGTGTAAACGATCTGAGACTATAGCGTGTTGTGTGCTACCTGATTATGGTACAGGTACGCTAATGCAGCGCGAAATTTAAATAAAACACGTGATTTTAGGTTTAAACACCCTAAGTCTGAAGACACCTGAGACTATACGGTATTGTGTGTTTCCTGATTATGGCATGTGTACGCTAATGCAGCGCGAAATTTAAATAAAACACGTGATTTTAGGTTTAAACACCCTAAATTTGAAGACACCTGATTCGGGCAGTCGGTCAGGCTCTTTGTATGGCACAACATAACACACGGTAATAATTACTTCAAATTATTACGAAACATACCAATTATATTACTACTGACGTCGACGTCTCACAACCAGTGGGCATAGGCCTCCAGAGCCTGTTACAGGAATAGCGTTACGAGCGTTACTCTTTGTCTTCTTTCTTTTTTTACTACTATCGACCTGGAACACACTTCATTTACGCATTAACCGCTTTTGGCACATGCCACCGTGTCTTAAGGTGTGCCACTACTTCTTTATTCATCACAAACGAGCATACCTAGCCTTCGTGTTTACCACATACAACGGCTAGACACTACACTAACACAGTCTATAAAATGACTCTTCGCATGCGAATTTTGTATTGTTTTCGACCGAGCATTACTGCATCCACGATCCCTTACATACTTTCAGAAAAATTCAGGAAACCCAGAACTGAAAATTTACACACTGTAGGACGCACAAGAAACACGCATTAAATACGTACAAAGCTCTTAACCCCTATTTCGCCCAAAACCATAACGCGAACATGTATACTTGTCGTTACTTACTACCACGAGGGGGCACATCATTCACAATGACGTCACAACAATTGGCGGCGGCGTGTATGAAAATGCGTGCAGCG